TATATATATATATATATATATATATATATATATATATATATATATAGTGCGTGTGTGTGTGTGTGTGAGTAATGTGTTGTGAGTACATATATAGGTCTTGCTGTCTCCAGTGTGGAAGCAATGCAAGCATCCCCTTTATAATGCCCAACTGAGGGTCGACTATAAGTTAAGAATTTGCGACAACAGACAAAGTGTATTAGTGAACTACACGGAATGTGTTCAGAACCTTCCGACAATGTTGATTCCTGTGAGGCTACTTCAGACGGCCGGGAGGAATCACCCCCATCATATATATATGCAACATCTAATTGGTTTTCAAAGTGGCCCGTTTTATTGATGTAATGCCAGTGATAATTATCATGTCAAGTTGACTTGTTCTAGATACTTATAAGCAGGGAAGACTTTAAGCCAAATGAACCAAATTGGGCCCAGCGCTCAAAGGGGATCCGCTCTGGGGTAACCTACAATCTACTTCAGTCTTGTCAGGGAAAATTATCTTTCAAAAGATTCAAACCTGTGAAAGCTTGTCATAAATCAACACAAACTTGCAAACAAATGTGTGTGTGTGCTGAATTTGTTGTGACAAACATTGTGTACAGGATTCTTTGCTTTTTTGTTAGGTCGGTGATGATTTCAGATTTATTTCTTTATTATGCACCCCATACCCATGCGGTGAGCGGTGGTGGAAAGGGTTATAGAGGCACATAATGGGTTCAGGAACTGAACCTCAGAGTTTAGTTAAGTAAAAGACACAATCTTGTGAAGCTAGTTACATAATTGTTAATATTACATACACCTGTGCATGTACATATACATCCATGTACACAAATACATATACATATCAATAATATTTTTATATCACAAGTGATTCAACAAGAGACTTACAACAGTCACTTTACAAGGCAACGACCTAGTGTTGCTCCACACCCAACCCAATTAGGCGTCAACATTAATTATGTGCATACATTACCTGCATTAAGCAAATGTTGGATACTTCGCTAAGATTCCTGGCAGTACAGTTATGAATGTTGCAAAGAAGGATAACTTTTTAATAATAAGAGTCAGTTTTTTAAATACAAAATAAAAGATAATTTATTTCCAACAATTCTCTCCGCTTATACTTTGAATGTTTATTTATTTTAAACAAAATCTAATTAGTATTTGTCATAAATCATTTCACTAAAACAAATCTTGGCTGTGAACCTTGGGGAAGGGGGGGGGGCGGAGGCACTAAAAAATGGTTGGCACCTGGGCCCGGCAGCCTCTAAAGCCGGCTCTGCTTATAAGAGTGTTGCATCATTATATTATAGTTAACCAGGTGACAAATGTGACATTATCCCGCGGAGCTTCATGGCGGGAGAGACGCGCTAGGCTTCACTCTAAACTAACCCACGGTAGTTTTTTTTTTTTAAATAATTAACTTATATAGTAGTTGAATGAATGAAACAATGCGGCGTGCACAGGTGTAACGGTGAAGGCTTCCTATGGTAACGTTGGAGTTTGTGGTAGGGAAGACCCATCCAGAGATATGTACAAGACACAGTAACCAAAAGTGGTAACTGTAGACTATCTTGGTTAGTTACACTGTGCTGGATACAGTGAACTCTTAGTAACTGTGATTAATGTAGTCGATTAAACTGACCTGTTCATGTCAGTGGATAGGTACAGCGGTCCTGTGTAATGTGATATAGGTAATCTCACATTACCACGGAATCACAAGCAAAAATTACGAAGTCATTTGTATTCTCCAGTAGTTCCTGCTGGCTGTGTACTTAGAATTTCAGAAGTTCTTAGCACTTAGAATTTCAGAATACTTATGTATTCTGAACCCCGCAGTGCGTTGTGGTGAAGTCTCCCTGGTTGGAGAACCCGTCTACAACCACTACATAAATTACTAACAAAATATACCCAAATTTCAGTTCAATTTAATATTATATATATTATATATGGGATAAAATGTTATATTGTAAAGGAGACTGACCTCAGGCGCAGGTGAGGCTTGGTTAGGTGTGTTTGGCTTGATCACTGATGATCAAGTCCCTCTTACATAAATGTCAGTACAAGGCAATAAGATCCATAGTGTTAAACAAAATTGTATTTCAGAACAATTTATGTGATCACTGAAGAGAATTTGAGGCTACACTTGGTTTGTAAATTGTTTGTATATGGACGATAATTTAAGAACGTGAGTTTTACTGAAGCGATGTTGGCAATCTTGTCCGGCTAAGAAGGCTGTCTACCTCGGGCTTCTTCCATTCATAGATGTTCTAAGTCTGCTCCAAATGTGAAAGCCGTATATAGTTATTTTTAATGATCCAGTATCGAGCACGACTTAATTTTCAATATTGGTGACTTAGATATAGAGAATATTGAATATTGATCACATGCAAGTATAAACGAATTGTTTTTTTTGTATTTTGTATTTATGTTTTTAAATTCATTAATTATAAAAATTCACCCCAAAATTACTGTCAAACATTCTTTGAAGACAAACGACAGATTGTTTATATCAGCTCTGATTGGAAAATATATAATTGATTTTTTGTTAGGGGAAAGTAGCACAATGAAGCTAACATACTCTTTGGTGGCCTTGACCCTCATTACTACCTTATTTACACAAATTATTGGGTTGTAATATTTACAAATTTATGACTAATATTACACTATCGCGAGTTTGACGCTCCCTCTAGTAGTGGAGCATCTCATTAGATGTGACCATTCGGATATTCAGTCATGATAAGCCTTTCGTAGTTAAATTTCACGTTATGAATTGTATGTTAAATGTAACCTTAACCGTAAAGTGTGTGCAAGGCCCGTGGCTGATCACACATTAGGCCAGACCAGGAGAGGTCTTCCTCGAGTCTATTTTTCTCATTATATCTTCGCAGGAAATAGTCTGGCCAGTCCTCAATGACTTGCATTCCGTGGTAGTGTAAAATATTCTTTTTTGGTGTTATGTTGAACAAATAGTTGTACTGATATGATAGTATATCTGTGTTCTGTAATAAAGTGAGTATTTTTCTCTTTTCTTTTCTTGTACACCCTCATAAATATCGTAGCTTGTATCATACAATGACGGTCTTATAAATGCACTATTAAAGATCACATTATTTCTATACAGACTTTCACCAGAGATATCCTGACCAGCAACATCAAAATAATCAAAAGATATAGCAATAATAAACATAGCAGAAACACTTCTTATCACGCACTCTCATCTATAATTATTAAGAGCCAACTTACACTTAAGTATGTTCTACCATCTACAAGACCAGCAGGAGGGACCCACCAGTTTACACCACACAAGCTGCCCCAGCCGACCAGTGAGAACACATGGTAAGATTAACTCAGTCCTCTCAACAGAGTAACCATCTCGCCTCTCTTCATACTTGTATGGAATGTGTACTACTGTCTCTGCCCATTTGTATTTACTCTTCTGCTTCCGAAGATGCTAAGGTGTGCTTTAACAAAATGCATCCTTTAGCGACACCCTGCAGGCTCGTTAGAGCGGCGGCCGACATCCCCCCCCCCCCGGGTAAATGCTTCACTCACGTACAATTGCATATATTCGCCAACAAAACCTAAACACCTAATCTAACCTATGCCTAACTGTACATAGAAATTTAAAATAATAATAATAATAATAATAATAATAATAATGATAACATATATGATAAACCAATTTTCAATACAATGTTAAAATTGATCAATGTGTCCGGGGGAGGGGGTCTACCCCCCCTTAGGCCTTTGTCTATGAGGACGGACTGACAAGATTATTAACCCTTTCTCAGACCAAAAAGTCTATTCCGTCCAGCGGTCGACCCCAAAGACGCATTCATCAATTTAAACATGTTGTTCATTCAAAATAAGAATTTTCTCAAATATCAATTAAGATTGTTACATATTAGCATACTGTGTATATTTAGGAATTGGTTTGATTAGGTGTTTAGGTTCTGTTGGCAATTATGTGTATATGTAGTACGTGGGAAAAACATTTACAGCGTTGTGGTTCGAATAAAAGTCGTCAGCGAAGCAGTTATTCGAGAAGTGTTCGAATGTCATCAACTGTGCAGCCCATACTCAAACAAAACCCTAAGTCCATTCCAAGCACCCACTAAACCCCCCTGTTTATGAATGAAAAAACGGTTTACACATGATTCACAACTGTTGACATTCGAATACTTCTTTTTTTTTCAAACAAGTGCTTCGCTGACGACTTTTGTTCGAACCACAACGCTATAAATGCTTCACCCACGTACTACAAATACAAATAATCGCCAACAGAACCTAAACCTATGCCTAAATATGCACAACATGCTAATATATAATAATATTAATTGATATTTGAGAAACTTCGTATTTTTGATTGAACAACATGTTAAAATTGATGTATGCGTCTTTGGGGTAGACCGCTGGATGGAATGAACATAGATTGAGGACGGGTTGCAGTGCTCTATCCACAGAGTGTAAGACTGGAAACCCTGTGAGAGCAGGTTCGCTTGACACTCATGCAGCAATTACCTTTCATGTTCATATACCGGTGAGAGATATAAATGTATTTATCATCTACTCTAAACAGTCACCTTCCCTTAGACTGGTATTCACTTCATTCTTGAACTTCCTTCTGTCGATCGTAAGTAAGTAAGTAATTATCAAAAGAAGGCACCAAACCCTGTCGATCGTAAATGATCATTGTACAGCCTAGTATATATATATTTCCCACGAAAATTGATGCAAGCTGGTAGGAAACACTCTGCTCGCGTATCGAAATTATCTCAGAGATATCATTTGTATTTTTGTCTTACTAATACAACAGATAAGATATACATGTGGGGGTTGGTGAAGTGGAGGACCAGCGAGACACATCCTTGTCCCTCTCTCACCTCTGAATAACCAGAGTCTAACCAAACTATACGACATGAGCTCTCTCGACAACCCTGGCGTTCATCTTGATCTAATTGCTCAAATGAATTCTTCCACATTGAATTTGACCTATTTGTAACAAATACGCGCTGAACATTTTCATGAAGCATACAGTTGAAGCCTCAAAACAATGCTTCGGTATGAGTTAATTATGCGATAATGTAATTTAAATAGAACTACTACACGCAACAGTTTTAAACGTTTAAGTAGGAACAAACAAACAAATTCACCTGCTGGCCAATATTACTTCAAATTACATGTTTCTCAAATCGCTTACCTGAATAAATGTTCAGAGTACTTGATTGTTGTTTTAGATATCCGATTTTTACAATATTTTTTTTAGATTTATTTCTTTATTCACATGAGTTTGTTGTTAATTTACGAGTGACGAAGGATCCTCCCTGTTCTTGTTAACAGTAGTGCTGTCGAGCCGGGTCAGGCTGCGGCTTGAGGTTTTGCCTCCAGTAAAGGACGGTATAGTTACTGTCACAGGCAGTGATTGTAGCCTTATGGTCTCCGGGCGGCTAGTTGTAGTCATAGACGGTAATGGCAGCTGGGTAGTCGTAATGGTTGGGTCGTCTGGTGGCCTCCAGGTACACCACCACCATGAAGAGCAGCACTGGCGCCACCACTAGGCTGTACTCAGACCATGAACTACCACCTGTCGCCACATCCAATAAACAAGCCAATTATTTAGTAAAACAAAAAGTAAGTAAGTAATTATCAAAAGAAGGCACCAAACCGGCAAGGCTATGTATAGTAAAACAAAAAAAAGAATAATATTAACACAAAATTCGTAAATGAGATACATTAACGTACAGAAAAAAAATATCGTCTAAGACGCATTTCACTTTTATATTTGCATGTACTTACAACCGTACCTTGAAACACACAGGATACGTAGCGTATAGAGTGGTAATACCTTGTGTATTGTATACACCGAATGTTTCGATACCGCACGCGACTGCAGTACTGGGATTCGCTGCCGGCGCCATTGCTAGCTAGTAGCACACGGATTTGTTCCAGAAAAACTTACCATTCTGAGCACCCATCTGCTCAAACCATCGCAGTTTTGAGAGGAAAATACATCTATACTCCAAGACCCAGACAATATCTTGTTTGGAAGGAAACAATTCTGATTTCGTCTACAATTGATGGAGAAACAACGTTGTTGATTACCTACTGTCCAACTGACTCGTATTCTGCTCAACCCAGTATGCAGGCGACCCAAACTCGCACCGCACTCTCGATACCCATGACCGATTTTTTGTGTGTGTGAGGACCGTATAACTGATCAGGTCACTTAGAGTCCTACCCTGAAGGGCGAGGCAGTACCCTGCGGGCATCGCCACAAGGGGGCACCGTAGAAAGTGTACTAAGTCTTTTCAGGAAAAGGTAGGCCGAACAGCTTATTAGGTGTTAGGTATTCCTGATTCCACCTGGGGGAATTATTCTACGACCTCCACTGGAGGGGAATGAATTTCTCCAGGCCTAGGAGTGTCTCAGGCATTAGGTAGGGCAGTGAATCGGTCCTCACTACGTGGAGACGTCATGGGGAAGTCACAGAGAAAGAGGTAATGGAGGCAGCTTTCAGACGAGGAGGGACAGTGCACCGAAGAAAACTGGTATCGAGGCTTCACCACGTGCTTCTACCAGCAAGACAGCAGACATAATGGACCTAGAGGGGACAGCATCAGTCTCACACCAGACATCGTCAGACTCTGCACATCTTCCAAAATTCAAGATAATGCAGACAGACCACTTTCCTACAGCATATGGAGTAGTAACGGCAATTAAAGAGAAACAACCAGAGCTCAAACTTTCCATCACAGTCAACCTGAAAGGGAAAATAATAATGACACCACGAGACCAACAGACTGCAAATTACTTAGAACAAGTAAAAGTCCTGCAAGGGAAACCTGTATGTTTGGAAAAGTTGGACCCTTCAGAAAGACTCACACGAGTCGTGCTTTTGGGATACCCAATCGACTTTCCCCTGGATCCAGTACTAGAACACAAAAATCAAATCCTGAATGCAGAACGATGCCGCACAAAAGTAGACAAAGCAGCGACACATCAAAATGTTTCTGGCACATGTCTCATGACGTAGCCAAGTCATGTAGGAATAATAGGAAATGACATTGCAGACGAAGCTACATAACTTGCAACTAAGAAGAAATGTAGACATTTACATACCACAGAGTCTATCACAGATTAAGAAAGTAATTAGAAACAGAGCAATGCAAAAGATGTACGTTGACCACAACACAGCAGTTGCAACATTAGGATCTGCGGGTTGGTACAAGAATTCAACCAATTACGAACCACTTAGTTTGATGAAAAGGAGAAGTAGAACAACAGAAGTACACTTACATCGCATCAGGCTTGGATACCCATGTGCACGGGAAATAGGCTTACAGGTTCTAGAAGATGAGAGGAAATGTCAGCACTGTGAAGAAATGCCCGACAGACCACTGGAATTATCTAACACAGTGCAGAGTTACAAACCCATTAAGATTTCAACTTTGATTCAACAGAGCAGAAGTTGTTAATTAAACACATGGGACAAAATTTTACTGAAGCGATCAAACGAGTCATAAATACTCATACTCCGCCCAAGTAAAACAGAAACAATTAACACTTAGTGGTCCAGCCAGAGATTTAGGACCCGTGCAGGAATATCCCTGCAAAAAAAAAACTACATTCTCACTTCCCACGTCAATTCCTGGCCGGAAGAACTGTTTTTACCAGCAGGACCAGCCAGTGAATCGCTGACCGACCGCAACATAATATTATGGACAATATCTAGGACGAAAATCTGAACCTGGGTGTATGCAACCTAGAGTTCTGCAGCACCGACAAATCATCAATGAAGATTACTTTCACCACCATAGTTGCAGCCACCCAGGCTTCCACACAAGGTTTCTACTGCTTCTGCTTACAAATACAACCCCACCAAGTAAAAAAGGAACAATACCATGAGATCCAGCAGTGCTTCAAGTGCTACGAGCTCTCTCACCCCACCAACAAGTGTTAGCACCCTGTCCAGAAGTGCAGCCTGTGCGCATTGGACCTTCACTACTCCATATGTAAGGCAACAGTCCATCGCTGCTTGCTCTGTGATGGCTCACCCCGCAATTTCATACCCCTGCCCCCGCAGACAGGAAAGCATCAAGGCCCAGGTTGAAGCCAAGAGAAACAACCCTTCTACCTCCTCGACCAGAGCCCCAGGCGTTCAACCCACCACCTCAGCTCCCACCAACCGACCAGAAGACTTTCCGGTCTTACCAAAAAAAGTGGCTCCTCCCACCAGATGACCCAGCCTTCACAATGGGGACCCAAGGCCCCACAGACTCCTTCACAGCCCCCTGCATCAAGTGCAGGTATTATCCCTGCTTATTAGACTAGCGGAGAGGTTTACCGGACCAGACAACCACCGTTTTGCCAGTGAACTGAACGCATTATACATGCCAATGGCCTGGATCCCATCATAGCTCCTGACGCAAGTCTCACTTCCTCCACTACCACTCCGAACACTACCACCAGGACGACCACGAGGTCGATTTCAACACAGACTCCAGAACCACCCATGACCCGGGCGGCACAAACGGAGGTATTTCCCTCTCCAGCTCCCAACACTCCTATCATCACCATCTCAGCAGTCGTGCTGTCTACAAATGCTAACAGCACCACCAATCCACGACACCCGAGTCTACCACAGGCTGCAAGGTGAAAGACGAAAACACCACCTACGGATGTTACTGACTCCTCAAACGAGGAAATCTTAGTAGGAGCTCCACCGCCGCACCACAAATACGACGCCTACTCGGTACAAGATCTCATGGAGGACACCTCACCAAACTCCAACGGCAGCACGGGTCAGCCAAAGTCTCAGGCAAAGAAAAAACCGAAGACCTAGAAGTCTACACTAACCCACCAGCTCCATAACTGGTACAGCTGAAGACTCACATATCCATCCCTAGATCTCGTATCAGCCACTGATACAGATAAAGGCTCCAAAGAGCCTCCACTTACGGGCTCACCATAGCCCGTGCTACTTGGAACTTTATGTTCTGAGTAGCTCAATCTAAAACAACAACAACAACAGGGCAGAGGTAGTATAATACTCAGATGAAGCAGTGATGGATGAGAGTACCTAACTGAAACATTTAAAAATTATTTGTACGGCTATTCACAGTTAATAGAAGAGTGTAAAAGTTTTCTGAAAGTCAATATAGGAGCGGTACAATATTGTATTCTAAAAGTTACAAAAAAAAAAAAAATGTGCCCAGAAACACTACCTTGAAACCGTATATATATGTGTGTGTAACCGTACCTCTTTCCATGATAGCGCAGGAGGGTTGTGCTAGAAACAGCAAGGACACCCACACCAACATGACCATTGGCACGTGTTGCTCCTCACCAGGATGGCACCACACACACAAACAGGCCAATATCTTGCCAGGTAGTTAACACCTCTCTACACTCTTATGCGTGTATTTGTAAGTCGTAAAGCGAGGACGATAGCTTAATGTGGTATCTTATCTTACACAAATGTTGTTAAAATGTCACAATCTAATCAGCACAATGACGTAGCCGGTGACCCTGTGATTAATATCCTCCTTGTTATACACTTTTATCCAGTATAGTATACTTAAGTCGTGCTTCCCACTTACACTTCATTTTATCTAGAGAATGTAAATTTAGTTTCATAAATCTCTTCTCATAAGACAGATTTTAGATTCCTGTGATTAGCTTTGTTATCCTTTTCTATATGTACACGTTTCAATGATTTTATATCTATTCTATATGGTGTCCAAAACTGAACTGCATAATCTAAATTGGGCATAACAAAGGCAAAGGAAAAGCTAAATAATAACATTAGCTGTGTTATTATTAATGTTTATAGATATGAGTCCTATTTGCCTTATTTCAAACATTTAGACAGTGGTACCTCGGTTTACGAACTTTTTGGGTTACGAGCTCGATTTGTTTGGAAAATTTGAATCGGGTTACGAACTTAAACGCGGGATACGAGTTTGTTGATACGCGTACGGCCGACCTAGCGTATGGTGGCACGGTGATCGTGCCTCAGTTTACCAGTGCTTCTCGCCCAGTGACTATCCAGCCTGAATTCTTTGCAAGGATTTAGTTTTTTGGGGGATTTTTGGCCACTTGGGTATAAAAGTTATTGTTATATATCTCGCTGTGGGTCCCAAGAAAGCCAGTGGAAAGCTTCAAGGCAAGAAATCACATGTGAGAATGACCATAGAGGAAAAACAAGAGGTCATTCGTAAACATGAAAATGGTACACGTATTGTTGAACTAGCTAGGCAGTATAACAAATCTTCAGGGGAGGAGGAAGAGGCAGTAGAGGATGTCCCTTCCTCATTAAATAAGAAAATGTGTGCAGTATGGGAAGAACTGCAAAGTTTTGCTGAAAAGAATCACCCAAATAAAGCTTTAGCAGGCCCTTGCATTGATCTTATTAATGACAAAGTGATGTCTCACTACAGACAAGTGTTACAAAGAAGGGGAAAAACAATCTTCAAGAAAAACAATGAAAATCATGCAGTGAGCCAGAAGCAGATCCTAGTGGTATGCAGGCAAAACGTGCCAGAGTGACTACCCCAGAAAAGTCATCACTGCCTAATGTTATAATGGAAGGGGACTCCCCTTCCAAACAATAACACCTCTCCTCCTCACCGTCTTCCATATGCCAACAGGAGTGATCAGTAAAGGTAAGTGGTAACTTGTACATACTTTTGTAGTGAAGATTTGGATGAATTAGGTACTGTATAAAATTTACTTTGAAGTGAAGTTTTTGGGGAGTCAGGAATGGTTTAATTCATTTCCCATTATTTCTTACAGGGAAATTCACTTCGGTTTACAAATTTTCGGGTTACAGACGGTTTCCTGGAACGGATTAAATTCGTAAACCGAGGTGCCCCTGTACATTGAATTTTTGGATTACGATCCTTACTAATTATGATTCCTAAATAGTTTTTTTGGCATTCAGATTTAGCAATTTCAATGCCAAGCTTAAATTTAGTTGTTCTAAGAACATCACAAACTAAGCACCCTACACTACACACAGAAATTACAATAGCGTGATATATCAAATTAACAAATCCACAAGGGCCTTGATGAGGGTTCAAACCTACGCACGGGATGTTCCCAGCTGCACCTAAGTCAACTGTGCTACGACATGGTTAAAAGAATTGCAACATGGAGTGCTACTGCTCTCACAAAGATCCTGAAGCTTCTCCGAAGCCCAATCGGGTTTTCTCAATTCCTCCATGCACCTGGGCTCTGTCAACCAAATGTTCTACCACTATGCCCATACTCCAATACACACACAAATCACAACAACATGATATATCAACTGAATAAATCCACAAGGGTGCATGGGGGAATTGTCTAAAAACTCTAGTGGGCTTTGGAGAAGCTTCGGGATCCTAGTGAGGGCAGTAGCACTCCATGTTGCAATTCTTTTAACCATGTCGTGGCACAGTTGACTGAGGTGCAGCTGGGAACATCGTGTGCATAGGTTCAAACCCTCATTTATTTATTTATTATTTATTTATTTATATATATACAAGAAGGTACATTGGGTTTGTGAGAATACATTGGATAGTACAGTATTTACATTCTTGTAAAGCCACTAGTACGCGCAGCGTTTCGGGCAGGTCACAGCCCTTGTGGATTTGTTCAAGCACCTTACATTTGTCAGTACTAAATTACATTTGCTAATTCTGTTAATTTTGAAAGCGTATCTAAATCATCTTAAAATGGTTTCCCACTTAGCTTTCAGTCAGTTTATGCTAAATCTGTTTTCTTAAAGGAATGTAAATAATAGAAATGTGATACTGAGATTTATTAGCAATACAGAAAGGTGGAGTTAATTAGAAGTCACCATAAATCTAATTACTCTCATTTTATTATAAAGATCTTACCTTATTGAGGAAGATTTGATTGTTCTAGTCCAGTCAACTTGAGAATGTTGGCTACAGAATCAAAAGGGAGCTGCTCAATCTGGTATCAAGCTCTTAGACTGCGCCTATGGTGGCCTCTCTGAGGGGGGCCAGGTTCTGGCGCGTGGTCCCCAGTAGGCTCTCAGAACTCCATACACATGAATGATGCCAAAGTCTGACATTAGTATATCAGCTTAGACAGCTCCGGGAAGCCTCTGGGTCTCACCCAGAAAATGGCGTTTCATTACGTTCAACGCTGGTTTTATACCAATGTGCATACTTTTGTCCATAGGAACAGCAGGACCTTACCTAAGGTGGCAACTAAATGCTTTTCTTCATACACTTACATTTTTTTTTAAGTGACTTAGATGCATAGTGATGACTTTGTAACAGCAGTGGTGAGTGAGGGATGGATGCCTTGTTAGAGGAATTAACAGCAAAGTACAGACTTAAGGAGTACAGCACTCCATACAGGGTTAGCAATACTGTACAAAAAAGCAGAAAAATCATATAATGTACAGTATAGTACATTTACGGATTATAGTATTGATTCTGCTATCAGGTAAAAGTACAGTGCACATTGTATCAAATTATTATATATTAATTATAAAATATGTGTGTGTGTGAAGGATATAACATACAATAAATTATGGACTAGGCCCTAAGTAAGGGTAAGTTACTCACTGCCAGTGCAGGGATTACAACAACATTTAAGAATTAATCCCATTCTTGATTCTGGACTCACAAGCTCATTTGGTTCAATAGTTGCAAACCAAATGGATTTACCATCAAGTCAATAGAGATGTGACACCACCAGAAGCTGGTTTAACAGAATCAGACAGTGTGAGAATTCTATAGATTATTCTTATAGGTCACACTCAATTCTGGATAAAGACAATATTTAAACATTACATAAAGAAAAATTATTAACATCTCTTGGTTTGTGTAGCTCCTATCTTGGATTTTGCATGCCACAGCTTGCATGCTAAGTTTGAAGTGTAATAAGATGGTGTCATAATTAAGGAGTTCACATGAGAGAGCCACCACTTTGCATCACTTCTTGCAAAGATCTATTGTATTCATTGACAAGTTTCATGGCTTGATTTTTATAAGGCACAAAATTTGATTCGGCTTTTCTTTGTGCAACAAACTCCCGAAGAGTGAAGTTGGTTTGCTCAAGGTGAGCCCACTTCTTTTCTAGATTAGTCAGTTGGGTGTAGGTTTCATTTTCATGTAGCTGGTTCTGCAAAGTTTAAAAAGATAAATATCTACTTTTAGCTTGACTGATAAATTTTAATCACTATGACTTAAGATATTCTTAGTACAGTATATACAAATTCATCATTGGACTACTATTACAAGAAATTATTTAATGAATTTTTTGCAGCATGGTAGGAGGCAAGGAAACTACAGAGCAGGGACTTTCAACTAAAGGTGAAACATACTGAAGTTTTTAGGGCATCATTACCTTTAGTGCAGTAATGGCACTGGTAATATCCTGCAAGCTCTGAGAGATGCAGCTTTTCCTGGCATCTAGTTCTTCCTTCTCCTGCACAAGGAGCCTACGCTTCTCCTCGGCTCTTGTTTTCAAGCCATCCAAATCAGAGAATTCTACAATTTCTAGCTCCATCTGAGCCAGTTTTTCTTTTAGATCTATCATCTCTTTCTGTACTTTTGTTTCCAGAGCTTCAATCTGAAAAAAATATACATTACAGTACAAACAGCACTGAGCTTCATTCATTACCTTCTAAATTTTATGTTCATGAGCATCATTATTCACACGATACACTGGACAGCTAATTGACAAAATTCAGCTTCACTCCAAAGATGAGGTAATGTGATTTAAGCATCATGCTCTGGCTATGGTATAAACCAAATTGTTAAGCTCCAAAACAAAAGTACTTTATTTTGGTTATGAGCCTCACTCTACAAGTTCATACAAGATAGTAAAATGAGTACCATTTCATTTTATAACAAGTTCTCATTAATAACATTCTCACTGTAGAATACAGATTATTTTACTGATATGGTAGAGAACTTTAACACAGGTAGAAATGGGCTGAAACATTCTGAAACACAGTGCTGGGGTCAATGCGTCAATCAGATAGTGTTCTAAAATGAATCAAAGATTAGTCTCACTTTATCTTTTCCTAAGTCTTCACTAATATAGGAGAAGATCAAAATGTGCACCTTGCAGGGAGAGGGGAACCTAAAGATGAACTAGACACAAAGCAGGCGATGAGTCACAATAACGTGGCTAAAGTAATTTGACCAGACCACACACTAGAAGGTGAAGGGACGACGACGTTTCGGTCTGTCCTGGACCAATCTCAAGTCGATTGAGAGATTCATTCATTCTCACAATCGACTTGAGAATGATCCAGGACGGACCGAAACGTCGTTGTCCCTTCACCTTCTAGTGTGTGGTCTGGTCAAACTAGACAAAGTGTGCTTGAATGTCTGATTTCTCCTCCAATGCAGCACAATAGGCTGCATTGGAGGGGCAATGGGCTGCTATACCCAGCAAGATTATGTCTACATAATATTCCTCTGTTTTAAAAACCATTACAGAGGAAACACTTCTAAAAATTCCTCCTGAACAATTTCAGTCAATTTTATATTATAAAGTTTGTAGCAAATTAAAGCTAGATTAAAGTCACTTCATGTAGGCATAATTTCTAACATTTTCCTTACGACTACTGTACTTTTCATTTCTGGTAAAGCACAAGGATTACTTCCTGGGTCAGGTTTCATGGGTAGAAAATATTAATTAATGTTGGCTGTTGCAAACACAGTGCAGTACAGAAACACCAAGTTACAGTAGACTATTTGCTGATGACATTTTACATTTAAAAACTCTATTAAATCTAACATAATGTAAACTAACACTGTACATTATATTTTATAATGACATTACAAACAAAATGCTATCAACAAATACGCGGGAGCTATCAACAAACGAGCTATCAACAAAATAACTAGGAGTCATGAGGAGGACATCATCCATCAGTAGGAGCCATCCTCCTCCTCACGGCTCCTACTGATTTTCTCATTGATACATCAGGTTAATGTGACTTCATTGAGCAAATAAAGTCTACTATCATCTTTGTATTTCTCTACACATCTGCTGTGTGGAGCTGCATCGGCCAAAAGAGTCACCAATAGGTTTAAGATCATAACATGAGCAGAGAAAATTAGTGTGATAACTTATTCAGTAAAATATTACTTTCTGTAGGTTGGCTTGAAGATTTAAGTTTTCATGCTTCAAGCCCTGCTCTGTGTAGCGGGACTTCTCCAGCTCTCCTTCCTTGAATGCTAAGTCGGTACGCATCATATCAAAGTCATGAGTGCTGTAATTCAAACAATCAGATTACATTATTGTATATAGGCATGCAAGAAAGAGATTAATTATTTCAAAGTTGTTCTGAATTTAAAGCATTATCTTAAAATTTACTCTATATGGAAATAATAATCATATTGAATACCTTAAATACAATATTTCAATAGTTGGCAATGTAAGCATGTGATACTGTACAGAAAAATATGCTTTGGGCTTGTGAATAAGCTCCTTTAATGTGTATAAGACCATCCTATGAACCAACAAGAAACTCAACCTCAGTCAAGCAAGAGTATATACAGCACCAGTGCCACAGGGCCTATAGCTTCCCTCCAGGGTCAGATAAAATGCTTTGGAGTCACTGGAGATAGTCTATCCAGCACAAAAGAAAACAGAGGCCCTGTAGTCTGTCTACTAAAAATGCTCAAGCATTTCAGGTTCTCAGTGGTATCACTCTTGTGACTTTAACGACCCAACATTCACTTGCCCACAACCACCTCAAACAAGGTGGGCTGTGGTGACAAGTGGTGACAAGGCTAGGCACCCCCTCAAACATAAGGAAGTGTGGTAGGAAGGGATGGAATGAGAGCAGTTAAGTAACGTGCTCAGAGTAGTTCTTTTGAAAGGATCAAGGCTATTATCCAAGATAATCATTCAGCCAATCATAGAGAAATTCAACTCTCAATTCATTCAAATCAGAAGGAAGCAGAAGGAAAACAGGCATGTATATAACACTCAGAGCTTGGAAGCACATTTATATCTGTTTAAATTATTTAATAGTATCGAGTTATTATAGACTACCAATAGTACAGTGGTCATTCCGTTTACGAATTTAATCCGTTCCCAGAGACGGTTCATAACCCATAAATTCGCAACCAGAGACGAATTTTCCTGTAACAAATAATGTAAACTGAATTAATCCGTTCCACATTCGCAAAACTATTAACTTCAAAATATATTTTGTATCTAAATCACATAAATATTCAGTACTATTTTAGTACTATTTAGTACCACAGTCCCCGTGGTGTAGTGGTTAAGACACTCGCCTGGCATTTTGCGAGCGTTTTGTCCTGGGTTCGTATCCTGGCCAGGGAGGACTTACTGGGCATCAATCCTTAACTGTAGCCTCTGTTTACCTAACAGTAAAATGGGTACCTGGTTGTTAAACGACTTGGCGGGGTCATATTTCGGAAGACGTAGGATTAGGGACTTGCGCGAAATGCTACGCATATTAGTGGCTGTACAAGAATGTAAGAACTCTTGTAAATATAAAAAATATAAAATAACACTATAATATGCACAAGTTATAGCTTACCTTTATTGATCACACTTGTTGGCATATGGAAAATGGTGAGGAGGGTGAGGAGGGGGAGGAGGGGGAGGAGGAGGAGAGGTGTTAGTGTTTGGAAGGGAAGTCCCTTTCTATTATATCATCAGGCAGTGATGACTTCTCTGGGGTACTCTCTCTCATACATTTTGCCTGCATAACACTTGGACCTGGTTGTGGCTCACTGCTTGTTTTCTCACTAAAAACCTGTCCATAGAGACTTTATTTTCCCTACGATGTAACACTTGTCTGTAGTGAGGCGTCACAGTGTCAATAAAAAGGTTAAGGCAATGGCCTACTACAGTTTGCTCTGGGCGAGTTGTTTCAACAAAAGTTTGCATTTCTTCCCATAGTCTACACCACTTCTTAATTGTTGAGGAAGGGACATTCTGTACTGCCTCCTCCTCCCCCTGAAGAAATTTCCTTGGCTGCCTCTTGTTGCTGTTCATTGTGAAGGGCAAGGAGTTTTTCGGTGGTCAGTTCCTTGCTGTGTTCCTCCTCAAACTCCTCCACATCAGCACCATCCAATTCCAAGCCCAATTTCCAGCCCAGAGAAACAATTTCCTCAACAACATTTACTTCAGGATGCAACCCTTTCTCCAAATAAACAGTATGTTTTAATACTAAATGTAATAAGTACATTCCTGACTGTCTGCATAGTACATAAATACACTTAATTGTGCCGTTACATTTACCTCCCCATATATTCTCATTTTCTGTTAATACACTCAAAATTTTTATGTTGAAGTTTTCGTGTTCAATTCTATATATGTACACAAGTTTTAAATATAAAAAATTTCTTTTTCAATTTTATTAAACAATAGAGATTTTATACAAAATTTGAAAATATCCTGAGTTACTTTATAATTTATTGAGACTAGTTTTGTTTTATTAGTTTTATAAAATTGTAATATCAATATAGCTATAGGTTAAGTACTAATTGTAATTAAGAAGCAATAAATGCTATTTACATTGCTTGTCCTCCTACACGCCCAAGGTTAGATTTGGGCGTGGTTTTCTATACAGCTTTTCAGGTAAACTCTAATATTCACAATACTTGTATTTTGGTGCAATGCTGGTGATTAAGTGCATTTATGTACAATGCCGAAAGTCAGGATTGTACTTATTACATTTATTATTAAAACGTACTGTCTATTCGGAGGATAGGCTGCAGGATCAGGTTCAAACCCATTAATGTCTAGTTCTGGAACACATTCAGGCAACAATTTTCTCCAGCCAGAGATCATGGTTCTTTGAGTCACTTCTTGCTAGGCTTTGTCAATGAGTTATAAAGCACTACAAATGTTAAAATGGTTTTTCCAGACCTCTTTGAGGGTGAGGTTTGTGGAATCAGTCACTTTGAAACATTTCCAGAAAAATGCCCTTTCATAGTTTCTTAAAATTGGATATGATTTTCTGGTCCATAGACTGAATTAGAAGAGTGGTGTTAGGAGGAAGGAACTTTATTGTAACAAAACTAAATTTATCTAACACTGCATCCTCCAAGCCTGGAGGATGAGCAGGAGCATTGTCGAGGAGAAGCACAGCCTTGAGTGGGAAACTTTTCTCCTGCAGATATTTTTTGTGGAAGGGCAAACCACTTCATTCACCCTCTTGGTAAAAAAATTGCCTTGTCACCCATGCCTTACTACCTGCTTGCTTGATACCTGCTTGATGGGGTTCTGGGAGTTCTTCTACTCCCCTGTGAGAGCTTGGTCCACTAGGCTATTGCTTGGAGTGGCCCGCAGGCCCACATATCCAACACAGCCCGGTTGGTCTGGCACACCTTGGAGAAAATTATCGTTTTCTCTTAAAGATGTCCATGGTTGTTCCTGCAATATTTCTCATACTCGCTGGGATGATGTTGAACAACCGTAGATCTCTGATGTTTATACAGTGTTCTCTGATTGTGCCTATGGCACCCCTGCTTTTCACTGGTTCTATTCTGCTGTATTACAATACAGTACAATGATCTAGCATCAAGAACAATGGTAAACCATTAAAAGATATCCACAGTAAAGGTGAAAGTAAGCCAAGACACTGCTAAAATAGCTAGTTTAAATATTGTAAATATCCCAATCTTGTACAGTATTTCTGATGCACACTGATGTTTTACCTTGGCAAATGTTTAAAGTGGGCAAGATGGCGAGACAGCTTTTCCAGTAAAGACACATTATTATTCTCTAGAGTTTCTAATCGTTTCAGCTCCTCTTGCTTATTTTCATCAAAAGTAGCAAGAAACTGTTCCATTGTTTCTTCTCTCTTACGTAGTTCACGGTACTTCTGGCTTCTTTCACTCTGATTCTCCTCCAATTCCTAAAAAAAAAACTATAATTGATAAAAAGCTAACACTAAAAGATACATTAATATACACTATGGCACTTTAAAAAACATACAAGTAATTATAGAAAATGAGGTCATAATGATATTACTAGGCCTATATACTGTATATATTTACAATTTTATGTTTTGTATTTAAACTTGCTTGTTTGTTTTGCACAAGTACTTTCTCTTTCCAAATGTAAACTACTCCTTAAGCAATGTCTCTCTTTCCCTTGGACATGGCACAGAAATAGCCAGGCAAGTGCACCCTCATCCTCAATGTAGCAGGCCATAAGCAAAAGAAGACTGGAGAAGTTTCCCTCCAGCTCGGAATAGGATGTAGAAAGTTAATTTATTTACAGTTAAAAACTGTAAACTACCACCAAGTAGTACTTGTAGTACTTAGGTTCAAATTGACGAGCAAGTATTGCTCTTGTAATTGTTAGTTTATCATCCGAGCTCTACCCAACCCACAGCCAAGTAAAAGTACCTCACCAGTACACAAGGACATCAGTGATCCCACACCTTGCTTTCTCTAACTCTCCCAAGCATGATTCACTACTCAGCGAGGGGCTAAATCATGAGGGGGCAGTTGTTTAGCCAGTCTCTCTTGTGCAGTGTGCTGGTACTAAACTCTCAGTCTGGTTTCCTGTTCTTTAACCCCTGAATTATGATGTCATGTTCTAAGGCAAGTCTATTTCAGTTGATACTCAACAGTGGTGAAACTGTCTACAGAGGACTTACCCATCTCTACAACTTATGGTTCGACTCCCTCAAGATATTCTCTGCCATTTTACAGTCTCCGTGGTGTAGTGGTAAGACACTCGCCTGGCGTTCCGCGAGCGCTATGTCATGGGTTCGTATCCTGGCCGGGGAGGATTTACTGGGCGCAATTCCTTAACTGCAGCCTCTGTTTAACGCAACAGTAAAATGTGTACTTGGATGAAAAAACGATTCTTCGCGGCAGGGGATCGTATTCCAGGGACCTGCCCGAAACGCTACTCGTACTAGTGGCTGTACAGGAATGTAACAACTCTTGTATATATCTCAAAGAAAAAATAAATCTGTGCTGACATCCAGTTTCAAGAGTTTTTGAGAACAAGCCACACATTTGCATCCCACTGATAAATTTGGGTCTTTTGCCTTCATAGTCAGCGAGTGGTGTTGGGCCATCTTTTGTCCAAAAGCTTAACATTGACCAGGATTCTGTGGCCCTGCACCACTGGTGCTTTGGGAATGTGGTTCTCATTCCCAAAGCTTCCAAAAAAGGCTTTGTGTAGATGAAAAGCCCCCATCTAAGCAAGTCACTCTGTCAGTCCTGTAGTCTCCTGACTTGCCTGTGCTTTTCTATCAAGTTGGAATGAGAGTTAGGTATACAGTACATTCCCTGGTGCCTCTTATCAGTACTTGTGCACTACCTTGGTGGTGGGTTGGGGTAGCAGCCAGGTGGTAAACTAGCGATTAACAGAGCAATACTTGCCAGTATTTGAGCCTAAGCATTTCCTGAAGATGGATTTCAATGGTAAATTCATGAGCTCCCATTCTGGGTTAGACTAAGAATTTTCTAGTCTCCTATTGTATGAAGGATGACAGTTGCTCTGACCTGGCAAATCTAGTGCCATATCCAAGGGAGAGCTAGTTTTAAAAAGCCTTATTTTGTATTTAAATTCAAGGATAAGAAAAAAAATGTTGCTGCTCCACCTGTATCTCAACCTAATATCTTGAGCAAGTGTCAAAAGTGGTGGCTCATGTAATCCCGCTCACCTTATGGCTGCCTTATTATAGAACTGCAGGCACATGTAAAGGATATTAACTTTTTAACTAATACTGTAGCTTTACCTGATCTAATTGCTGAATCTCATCCTGGACTTGTTTAATTTGTTCCTGAACTTCGCTAATCTGACGCTCCATTGTTGCAATTTCTGCATTGTCTTCTTTTACCTGGAAATAAGAACAATATAGTACTTAACACTTTTGCTACGGGATAACATTAATGTCATCCTAAAATCAATACACATAGTTTGGGGGAGGACGACAATTCCGTCCAAAATTAATATTTGTAAATACTATACTGTACTGTCTTTTTTTTTTTTACCTGCAGGAGAAGTCTTTCTCGCTCTTCCTTTGGTGTTCCTCTTTTCTGGTTTGCATTAATGATCTCTGATCTCTTTTCCTCCAGCTCCTGAAGCTTCACATACAAACCAACAGCTTCCTGCTTTACCTTGATTAGAAAATATAAATCAATATAATGCTTTGCATAAAAATGGATTTGATATTCTTTTACAAATGTAACTTTCACCCATTAAAAACATACAATCATCTGAAAAATTTACAACAAAATAGTAAGATCTGAATATTGTACCAATAATTATTAAAGTTATTAATGATCTGCAATGATCATACATCAATGACCTCCTTTTGATACTGTTAATCACAACTACCTCTTACTTCAACTCCACCATTATGGAATCCGAGGCCTTGCACTGGACTATATTCAATCCTATCTTAGTGATAAACACCAATGTGTAGCCATCAATGATATAATTTCTCCCACTCTACCATTAACCGTAGGAGTGCCACAGGGCAGCATCTTAGGACCTTTCCTATTTGGATATCACCCAACAAACCCACACTAAACATAGAAAAGATCTACTACATCTTATTTGGAAGCAAATCAACAAATGCAATTCAGCTTCAGATAGACAATGTTAACATCAGCAATAAAAATGATGGAAAGTGTCTTGGCCTATTCCTAGACAAGAGACAACTTCAGCACCCCACATACAACACATAACTAAGAAAGTCTCTAAAACAGTTGGTATACTCTCCAAAATCAGATATTATGTACCTAACTCTGCTCTCCTCTCACTATATTATGCACTAATCTATCCCTATCTTAATTATGGCATCTGTGCATGGGGTTCAACCACTGCAAACCACCTCAAGTCCATCATCACCCAGCAAAAATCTGCTATCACAATAATAAACTCTGCTTTCAGACAACACTCAGCCCCCTTGTTTAAATCCCTAAACATGCCAAACATGACCTCATTCCACACATTCTCTTGTGTCAGTTACATTTACAAAACCCTGCTCTGAAACACTCCCTGGACAGATGTAATCGGACCCATAATCACCACACCAGAAATAAATATCTCTTTGATATCCCCCAGAGTCAAACTTAATCTATGTAAACACACTATGCAAATAAAGGGACCTAGTCTATGGAACTCATTCCCTAATGAATTGAAAAGCTGTCCAACTTTTGCCTCATTCAAAAACAAAACCAAAAAAGTACCTAATTTCATCTTCATAGTTTCCTACTTTGTGCTTCAAACTTGCACTGTATTGAGTGCTACCCAATCCTCCAATATTTATGTACCCAAGCCAAACAACTTTACCATTGTGACCATTGCCATCGTCTTATATGTGCTATCAATATGCTGTATTGTGCCAATTAATCTTTGTTAAATTATCAATCAAGCTGTCAATGCTATCAATCAGAGCTATCGACGATGTGTTTTAATATACTTACTAATCTCTCTCATTTTTTCTTACGATATACTTGTTAACATTTTATAAATTTTGCTAGAATTTCCCTACTTGAAATTATCTGTTAGATTAAGGACCTGCCTGAAACACTGTGCATAATAAAGGCTTTACAAGAATGTAAACACCATGCTATGTACCCTCACAAACCCAATGTACCTTCCTGTATATATATAAATAAATAAATAAATAAAATGAATAAAAGTGTAATGAAATAACATGCTAAACCTTGGATGTAGAAAGTTCATCCTCCAGTGTAGCTTTGCGATTGTCAAGAGCATCTAGTTGGTGCTGCATTCCATCGAGGTGCTGCAGAAGTGATGTGTTTAAATTTCTTAGGTCCAGGTACTTGCTACGAAGTTCTGGCTGCATAGACTCTACCACACTTTCTCCCATGTGCCGTTCCTGCGGGGTTAGCAAAATGTTTAGCAATAGCCTCATCCCAAGCAAAATATATATTAAATCAAGATTTAATAACTTTAATTTTAATTACTTTTAATTACGATTTAATTACTTTCTCACCAACATAATTAAATTTCAGCATCAATAAAACAAACAAGTCCCACACATAATGTATATAAAAAGTAAGAAAATTCTCAAGTTTTTAATCCTTATTAGGTGAAGATTCAGTAACATCTCTTTGCACCAAATGAACTACATTCAAAATATTAATGTAGGAATAGGCATAAACTATACTGTCAATGGTGGTATTGTTGTTCATTACTATGAAATGACCAACATCAAATGGGTCATTATCTTCAACAATTAATTTTGCAGTTGTCAAATTGTCTGGTCTGAATAAAAGCAAAATGTGTTAATTTTTAAGAAGGACATAGTATACCTCATCAATTTCTGCTTCTAGCTGCCTCATCATGGACTCCAAATCTTGCTTGCGAGTAAATAGTAAATCTAAATTTTCTGCTTCCACCTGATTTGCTTCTTTCATTTCGCGACACTCATGATCTACCTCTGCTCGTTCAGTATCCATGTTTATGAGGTCCACCAGCAGGTTGTAATCCGCTAATTTTCCTTGTAATTCTATTGTGAGATGAAAATACTTTATTAAGCAACTAAAGAATGAAGATGTATGTGCATCTGTTGGATAAATGCTTAGGATTGATTGCATTGGCTTTTTGTTAATTTCTAAATCACTGTAAATTTTCAATTTATACCTCAATTATTATACAGTATTAGATTTCAGAATAGATAAAATTACATGCATATTAGTGGCCTTGAAAGAATATTCTTAACTTATTACTGTACTGTATTTTATCCATATTAATTGAGCTGCAGCTCTCCACTGCACCATAAAACAACATTGTATGACCAAAATGGTCACAAAACCAATGTAGACCAAACCACACACTAGAAAGTGAAGGGACGACGAGGTTTCGGTCCGTCCTGGATCAAATCAATTGTGGATGGTTGATTCACAATCCACTTGAGAATGGTCCAGGATGGACCGAAAAGTCGTCGTCCCTTCACATTCTAGTATGTGGTTTGGTCAACATATTTCAGCCACATTATTGTGACTCCTCATCTGCAAAACCAATGTATCTTCTTTATTTATAAAGATTTAAAAAATAATAATAAACTGGAACATTTCAGTGTGATCACTAGGAGAATAAATAGAAAAACCTAGGAATAAAGGAAAATTAATCATTTTTGTTTTTTTATTTGTGAATGTTAAATTAAACTGCTTTGACAGAATTTGGTCAGTTTGCTCATGTACAGTACACTTACCATTACTGCATGAGAATTAATTGTGACTAATTCTAGTCAGTTTATTAAAGAAATTTTGTTAATCTGGAGAGCTTATCTAAACTGCAAACTTGTGTTTCCATCATAATTTCCAGTTTATCAGGTGGATAGTTGAGGCAACCATCCAGACCAAGTGGATGGTTGAGCGAGGGTTCAGCAAGTAGTGATTTTGTGTTTTATACTGTAATTTGATATTAAAAGACTTAAGTACTTAAATGAGAGTTTACTTTATTTGCAATCTCAAATATTTGTGTTATGAACTATGCCCTTACCAGTGAGCTCCTGTGCCATTTCTTTTACTCGTTTGTCATAAGTTAAGAAGGTCGACTGCTCCTGCTTCATGAAGGTAATCTCCCCAGTCAGATGATTGACTTCTGTACCCAATTCAGCAATTTTTGTTCTAAGAATGCCCATAAAATAACTTTTGTCTTGTACCTGAAATTTGATAAAGATTATTTGTATCTTTTTCCCAAATCTAGTCTGCAAATAGAACTTGAAGGCAAAACAATAAACAAATATCTACTTTTATCCTCCACAGTTTTGATGGGTGGCAGCCCTCAGATATTAAATCGTGGATTAATGATTTAAGGCACCATAATGAGAAAATTGTGAGTCCTGTGCAGATTGTTGATAACTTATCAGCACCGATGTTTAACTGCATGACTAAACAGCCATATATAACATTGCTAGATCATGTACACACACTGTTTAATCACTAAACTGCGCAACACGCTTGCAGGACCTCGATGCGGGGTGAGCAATGCGCCTCCACGATCTTATATTTTTAGTGTATGATTCAAAACTCCCGTGGCTACATGGGATTCACATCAGCTTCCTCAGGGCTCTTGTAAACAGACACCATTAAAAAAAAATGGGCAATGTTCCCAGGTGTGAGAGCCTCAGTACTGAGTGAGCAATATATATATATAACTTGTATTATTTAGCCATGATAGTATTACAGAAGAGCCCGAGTGTGATAATGACTGTGTACAATGTTCAAATATTAGTAATTCAATGCTGTTCACGATGTTCACAGCACTAGCCACAGCATCACAGCATTATTTCGTCCATCTAGGAATCTTCAAACAACTTCTTAGGTTACTTTACAAAATAAACTTGTGGTTAATTATGTATTTACAGGATTTAGTGACCAGTATTGTGATAACAGCAGGATTGTGGTGATAATAAGCACTGTGCGTAGTATTGTGGGAGGAGGAATTGTGGTGAGGGAGCGAGGGAGAGAATACAGGTAGCCTCACTGTGGGGCAGCCACTCTTGTTTTGCTCATCATATGAGCTTAGTGGTTTGCTATGGTGAACAAATTTGTAGATGGGTATATACAATGTGTGTATATAGTGTAATAACAGCAAGAGAAGTATGATGGGAGGAGCTATTTTAGTGAGGGAGGTGACGTAATCGTAGCGTCGTCTGCTGGCTGCTGTGTGATTTCTCATGCAGTGTATGGTGGCCACTGTAGAGTTTGGACAATACCGGCTTACTTGCATAGTTCTGGTGAATAAAACATGTAGATAGGTATACATAACATGTGTAAATAGTGTAATACAAACAATAATAGTATGGTGGGAGGAGCAATGTTAGCGAGTAAGATGTTGGAGGAGTGAGGGAGGACTGGCTGGCTGGGTGTGGGAGCTTACACTCGTAGAGTTGTGTGTGTGTTTATGGTGTGTATATATAGTGTGTGATACTGTACAGTGTGTAAATAGATTGTATATATACATAAATTAGCATGATACATTGGAAATATGTGCCGGATATGTGTACACACGTGTCATGCACGTAACACAGTGTCTTCGGACAGTACGGATGTTCTACTGCCATAATGTATTATACGTGTTCATTATACATAGGATTGGCACGTAAAAACAAATAAAATGTATTTGGAACTGTGCGCAAAAAGTGAACAAAAATACATTCGTGGCAACTCGCGCATCCTGCCCTGGGTGCCCTACTGGCCCCGGGAGCACACACCACGGGCGAACAGGGAATGATGACGTCACACACCAACTTACGAACCCCATAGCAGCCAAAGTAAGTACAATTCCAACTTTGTTAACATATCCCTACTCAGGGAAGGGTTTTTGACACTTCTTAGTGTCAAAAAACCTTAGTTCTTATATAAATTTATTTATATAAAAAAGGGCTCTTTGATTACTTCCCGAACCAGAGATTACATTTCACCTATGACAATTCGCACACTAGCTTCCAGCAGACTTACTTCTCACGCTCTGGAAAGTAATTTTGTGAGTGGTCTTGTCAAGTCTTGGGAAGGGAGATGGTGATATATTGATATACAATACTCTTCACTAAGTGATTACTTACTATATAGACAACAAATCAAATGACTTGACAATGCCTGATAGCAATCAATGAAATAGTGAAGAAAACCAGTTATCCCTCTGTTAACTACAAGTTAAAACACTAACCACTACACTGTTCACCACAAGGTGGCAGCACAGGTTGCATCAACAGATTTAGAAAAAATGGCAGGCTATAATATCTTTGGTACATTTGATTACCTGTCTCTGTGGTCCTCTTGACCCAGTCTTCATGCCAGTTAGACCTTGCTGCGTGATAGGGCGGTCCACAACATTTATCTGAAAAAATTGGCAAAATAATATCGAACCAGTATTTGACACTAATAAATTAAAGAGCTCATTGATTATCCATGCATATATGAATGTATACATTGTGTATTTATTATTGTATTTAGAAATAATACTAGATAAATTTAGGTAGCCAAGAGCTGGTGTGGCTCAGCCCCAAGGTGGAGGAGGAGGGCTGGTGTGGCTCACCACCCAGGTAGGGGAGGGCTAGTGTTGCACAGCCCCCAGGTGGAGTGGAAGGGCTGGCATGACCCACTACCCATGTGGAGGGGTGTACTGTACCTGGTTATCACTTGTACTGTACTGTATATTAGTGAGGCTGGTGTGGCTCACCACCATGGTAGGAGAGAGCTGGTGTGGTTTACCACCATGGTAAGGGAGAGCTGGTGTTCCCACATGGCTGGGAACCCAGCAAAACTCCACTTTCTTAAATCTACTGGAGATAAGAAATGGCTAATGCTGAATCCAACTACCACCAGATGGACTGGATTAAAGGACTCCAGAGCCATGAGAGCACTGTGAAAGTCAACTACAACAACAAAGGAGGATTGACAGAGACGAAGAGGAAAGGAAAGCAGTTGATGAAGAGTATAGAGAATAGCATAAAATTCTGTTGTGAAGATGCTAGTTTCCAGAGGCAGGCGACACATATCGGTGTGTTCAGGGAAAACAACAGAGTAGCCTACACCGTCTGCAAACTTAGACCCATTGGTGAAGATGGGACTGGAGTGGGAGTGTGAAGAAAAGTGTACAAGGAAAAGTTGTTTCAAAACTGTAGGAGGGGTAAAAGCTTTAGTCATGTGGGTCAGGGTTTTACAAACTTTAGGAAGGGGGACCCTCTATGGGAACAAAGACGAAACAACACGATGAGAAATATTGGTAACATTAACCGAAAGATAATTTTGTAGGCGAGTCAACCATACAGAAAGAAGGAGGTGGTGAAAGGGAACAGGGACAACAGGAGGGGTAAAAGTCAAAGCACGACATAGTGAGAGTGAGGGTGCCATGGTAGGAGAGCTGGTGTGGTTTACAGTACCACCATGGTAGGGGAGAGCTGGTGTGATTTACCACCATGGTAGGGGAGAGCTGGTGTCATTTACCACCATGGTAGGGGAGAGCTGGTGTGATTTACCACCATGGTAGGGGAGAGCTGGTGTGATTTACCACCATAGTAGGGGAAAGCTGGTGTGGTTTACCACTATGGTAGGAGAGAGCTGGCATGGGGGAAGTCAAGTGGTGTCAGTGATGGAAGCTGTTGTCAAGGGAGACAAGCGGTGTCAGTGGCGAGATCTCTGCTTCAGTAATTGGTAACACATGGCTGGCGCTGGCTGCCACCACCTCGATGTTTCACTCACTGTCTGCTTTTTTCAATAAATTAACTGAGAAAATGTTACCATTTCATTTTTTTCTAACACTGTTCTATCGTATTCCATAGTCAAAATGAAGAATTCATAATAAATGGGTGTGTCAGTGGTGAGGGGAATGTATTAGGGGGAGTTAGGAAGTCAGCTAGCCTCTATGGGAGTGTCGGGCGGCGTGGTGAGACGAGTCCAAGTCTGGCCTGAGTGACCAGCTGACTGCTGCCCCATGTGGCTCCCCGCTGCTGCCTCAATACAACCCGTACTAAACTCTAGAATATTTTATCATTTCAGTTGCTTGTAACATCGCTTTATTATATTACGTAGACAAAATGAAGAATTCATAATAAATGGTGGTGTCAGAGAAGTCTGGTGGTAGGGGATGGTGTCAATGGTGAGGGATGGTGTTAGGGAAGTCTGGTGGTGTGGGATGGTGTCGGTGGTGGGGGATGGTGTCAGAGACGTGACTGATGATGAAGAGCTGGCAGATTATTATCAACACCTAAAGGGCATGAAAGATATTATAATGAAGCAGCGCACAACCAAGAAACAAACTAAGATTCAAAAGTTTTCGTACAGTTTCACAGTAGGCCTACAGGACCAGCACCCAGCCCTAGCAAGGACTCCTTTTGTGAGTCAGGTGCAATTTTTCCTAATGCAAATGTGTCCTGGCATATGTATATGTATTTTTTTTTTTTTTTTTTTTTTTTTTTTTTTTTTTTAAGAGAGTGGTTGGGGCCAGATGGATGGAACGAATTCTGCACTGGAATGATTCGGCTTCGCCCCATATGATTCATTCACGTGAACTATACAGTGTGTACAGTAAATTACTGTACACACTGTACAATAATTACCGTAATTACTGTATATGCAAATCAAATTTAGATTTACATAAACAAATCTTGGGTTCATACCTTGAAGATATATATTGAAGTTGGCAGTAAGCATTACTTCAAACAAGGATAAAACACTAAAACTTACTATAAACTAATGTCAAATTTAGCATATGGAAATCTCAATCTATTTTTATGTTACATGTTTTGCTAATATAAATATCACTGCTCTAATTGTTAGCTACAAAGTTGTTATCCCAGTACACCTATTCATTCCTGGTACAGTACTAGTGTAATGATTTGTTTAAATCACTTATGAATAAAGACAATCAAAAGAAAACTACCCTTCCTTTAAACCTTTCATCATTTCCAGCTTTTTTATCCTCATTTATTCCTCCATTATTCCCCACAGCTGTAAGAGTTCATTTTCTTCCTACAAATCATGAGGGTATATATGTTACTTACAGGTGTACTAAAACCTTTGCCAGTAGCCACGCCAGTTCTAGTACCGGGGCGCTGCATGCTTGCGGTGGAGAGAAGTCTAGAAGCTGTTCCTGGGGCATTTCGAAGTGCAGCACTCGCAGGACGAGCAGTGATAGGGCGACCGGATGTTGTGGGCCTACTGTTGCCATCTCCCTAAAAGCAAGTTGAATGAGATAAATTACAATGAATACAATTTTTAATTACTGTAATTCAAATATGTTGCCCTGCTTACTAATAAAATATATTAATTTAAAGGAATACAAATCTAGGAATAAAACTCTAGCAACTTCTCAATGTCTACAGTAAATAAAATGAGACCCATTAAAATAATTTATGCAGTCCATACTCAAGTCTTTGGAGCTTTGCATAATGATGCAATTTTCCACATCCAAAATATTGTAGCTCATTTTGGATGTGAAACTCACATGGATTTTGGATATATCAAAACTCATTCTGTTTTAAAATTACTTAAGCTTCACTTAACACTTAAGGTATGCAACCATATTATTTGAACATTAGTTTGATTTCATTCTCATTGGGAACTTATCCAAAAGAATTTAGGGTGAAGGAAATTTCAAATTCCAAGGAGGACGCGAGCAACGCCTGCCAACATGGGAGATGAGAAGCAAAGAACAGACACGGCAACCTGCATGATCGGTGCGAACAGCTTCAATAGGGAAGACAACACACGAGCTGCTGAGACCAAGGCACCAGGGCCCAGGAACAGCCCCAAGCGCCTCCACATTCTCCTCAAGCCAATCCGAGGACAACGCCAGGAAGGAAAAGAAATGCAAGACCGAAACCAACAGGCCATGAGCGCGCAAACCCACAGCAACCAGTGAAGCTGAAAGGATGGGAACCTGCATGTGAAGCTGCACTATGCCAACATCCCGAGGAAAGGCAGGGATGAACAATCAGGCATCGAGGTGTTAAAACTCGCCCCCCAGGTAAACCTGGACCTCCGTCAGAGCCTCATGCCACTCAAGCTTGAGGGACCGACAGAACATATGCCAAGCCTCCAACGACAAAACAAGGCAGTCCACAAGCCAAGACAACTCCGGAAACTCAAAGAAGAATCAAACTTGAAGGAAGATGATTCAATAAAGAGGCGTAATCCAGGTCGTACAGGAGGTAAGCCACAATGGCTTCCCGCACCTCATAAGGTGGGATGCGGGAAGCCGAAAACCTCTGGAAAGACAGGACCGATGAACTTGAAGGGACACGGAACCGAATCCGGAGAGGGGCTGACACCAAATCTAATCTGTACGCGGAGGGTGTTGGGGAGGGGGAGAAAACCCCACTTCCTGTAACAGCAAGCCCCGCTCAGAGGGTACAAAAACCCAAGCAGGGTCCAACAGGGCCCAAAGCCCCAAGTCAACCCCTCCCCAGCCATGGGAACCCCCCTACAGCTGGACCCAGGGCTGAGGCATCCCCCAAAGCCCCGGCCTCAAAGGAAGAAGCCAGAGCAGCCGGAAAAGCAGGAGGGAAGGGGGGCCCCCCACTGGTCAGACCCAGACACTTCAGCAGGAGGAACCGGCTCAAATGCTTCTACCGTCACCCCAGAAGGAGCATTTCCCGAGACCGCCCAAGTCTCGAAACCAACTAAACCCTGCCCCAACTCCGAAACCCTCAAACGTTTCGGAGTCGAAACGTTTATTATAGTATATACCAGTCCGATACCTCCAGGGCACCGACGGAGCTCCCCACAGAAAAGTTTCCAAATCACATAGTGATCGGTCAGGTTCTCTGACCATCAAAACAAGCCTATGACTAGGTAAATGTTGCCAGTGATTGGCAACAGATTCCAATGCCACTGCCTGTTGTAGTGCTAAAAAAAATTTAAGTACAGTATGCCTGTATCCAAACCATTACAGTTTACATTGCATTTTTATAATGTTAAGGAGAACTTTTTAGTGTCAAATATATTTAATATATATATACTGTAAAGTATTGTACATCATGACATTACTTGACGTGTCATTGGACGGTCTCCATATGAGGCAGTCTGGCGGGTGTCGGGCCTTTCCATGTTCAGACTAGACCCACTTCCTCCTCTTGTCGAAGGTCGCTCTGCAGATCCTTTTAATAAAGAAATCAAACACTTAGAAAAATACCTCTTAATTAAAACTTTCATACATTAAATTTTTGGTATAAAAAGCAAAAAATATAATATTGTATAATTTAAAACTTTTTAATTAGGTTATGTATACAAATCTTGACAAATTTTAATGGGTGATGAAAATGGCATTAAGAATAATATAAAAAATTCTGAACTTGATAAGCTCCTGCATCAAGGTAGTGCATAATTAATCACAGAGGTGCCAAGGTGGTATGAATATGTACAATAGTCAGGTATAAGTCGGTGACAGGAATGTATAGACCACAGTAGCTGAAAAAAACTGTGTCAGTCTAGGAAGGGATATGGGAGGAGGATTTAAATAGGGTTCAAATACTGCAGTATAAATATGATCTTAAAAAACTTATAAATTTGTTATACTCGTGTAATTGTATGAGCTAGCTTACTGAATACTCAAGAGACGAGTTTGTATCTTTTATTAGTGTGTGTGTGCATTTAACAATACAGAACAAAGACAACATGAATATGTAAAATGGTTAATAATATTGATGTGAAATTTACTATAAACAGCACTTCAAGTTTCTTCAGTACTTCAGTATTTCAAGGATGTTGGGCATAAAGAGTTAGATCTTACTTTCCCCATAGTCATCAATAGGTAAGCACTGTGGTGCATCACTTTAATGCAACTGAGATTAAACATCCATTTCTTAAATTTAAAACAAATCGGCCCTTTCCCCCCCCCCTCTCCGTTTCCTATAAAGCAAAAGGCATTTATAATGATGTCACTTGGAGGAAACATTTATGTAGTCACATGGAACAAGCACTGGTGTCAGTCAAATAAGGGACAAAGGATATTTTTTAAAGTAATAAAAACACAAATAAAATATAAGGAAGAGCAGAATAGTTAGATGTGAAAGCAATAGTAATGACTTCAGGTTTAAGTGTGGCACTGGCTTACAACTTTACAAACACATGCATTCACAAAGAGTGAGAACCACAAGTGTCTAGTGATGGAGTTTCAGATTAAGGTATAAAAGCTGTCACACAAATGGCATTATATTTGACTTTATATCCTTCCAGTACACAAGAAGCATTCTTCTCAAAATGTTCAAAGTCTGTATAATCAGACTGAGTGACTATGATAGGCTACCAAGCAAGACATCATCATGCTCCTCAAGGCAAGATCACCAAAGGCCCTATTGGATAGGCTAAAGATATTCAAGGTCATTCCTTGAATATTTAAGCTCATTCATTCAAGGTCATTCATTCCATTCCATATACTTCCATCAATCGTCACTGGTGCACTCATTTTCAAATGCCCATACCAACTCATATTGGTGTTAGAGAGGCACTGAAGAAAAGCCATTTCCAGCCCAAAGTGATTAGAAAGTTCACCCCATGAACACTTTTGGCCTTTCCAAGCCCTAGTTTGCATCACTCGAACCACCAGGCAGTGATCATGCCAAATTGCTAGTTTCTTACCTATTTCTGAAATTGCCAGATGGGAACACCCTCACCAACACATTGTTTCCATCCTCAATCACATTCTGTTCAACACAAAAGAAAATCTGCGCACAGAATAATCAGGAAGTCAAAGTAAGAAACACAAGCATCTGAGCATCTTCCTCAAAAGTACCTTTCATATTCATTCAAAGCTGGAGTTTTTAGCAATTAAACTCAGATGCTCACTGAATGATTGATGCAAAAGCAGCCACAAAAACCATAAAACCATGAAAGAGAAAACTAATCTGTGCATGACGTGGTATTCTTAAAGCTTCTGGGTTCCCCAGAACCCAGAAGCCATTTAATGGGTTCTAAATGGGAGCCATTTAGTTGCATGTCTGCACTTTTTCCAGTTTGTTGATGTGCTGCTTAAAGATATAGGCACCATACAACCGCTGCATATTCCAGCTTTGATTTCACAAAGGTTTTGAACAGTTTCTTTGGTATTTCACTATCCATGTATTTAACAAAATTTCTGAAATATTCTGAAATTGCAAAGTGTAGCATAGACTATTTGCACAATATTCTGTATGTAGTCCTCAGGTGATAGAAAACTATCTACAATCACCCTTAGATCTCTTTCTTCAGAATTTTTTAAAAGATTTTCCATATAATTTGTGGGTTATGTGGGGTCTATGTTTTCCTATTCTCCATTCCGTAACATGGTATTTATTCACATTAAATATCATTTGCCAAATAGTGGTCCATACACTTATTTTGTCCAGCTCTTCTTGAAGGGCGTGACAAATGTCTAAGTTTCTTATCTTCCCTATTATTTTGGCATCATCAGCAATCATGTTCATATACTGTACAGTAATTCTGTATTCCATCTGGTAGGTCATTTATGTAGACAATGAACATTACCAGTGTAAGAACACCGGCCACGAACACGAACCCTGTGGTAAGAACACGAACCCTGTGGTACTCCACTCATGACATTTCTCCAATCCGATACATTGCCTCCGATTACTGCCCTCATTTTTCTGTCCGTTAGAGAAATTTTCATCCATGTTAGAAGCCTCCCTGTCACTTCTCAATGTATGTTCCAGTTTTCAGAACAACTTCTTGTGTGGAACTCTGTCAAAAGCCTTTCTTAAGTCCAGATAGATTCAGTCAACCCAACCATCTCTTTCCTGTAAAATCTCTGTGGCTCTATTATAGAAACTTAGTAAATTCTTTACACAGGACTTTCCACATCAAAAGTCATAATTGTCTTATTATATCCTTTTTCTCTAGGTGTTCTACCCACTTAGTTTTAATTATTTATTTCAATATTTTAACTATTACACTTGTCAATAATACAAGTCTATAATTGAGGGTTCTGCTGCCACTTTTATAGATTAGAACTGTTAGCATTTTTTACACACATTTGCTAGGACTCCTGTACACAGGAAGTAGAGAGTAGAGTAAGTATTGTTAGTGTAAGTAAGTGTACTGTAGGCAAGTACACTGTAAGCAAGTCAAACAGTGTAGAGCTTTCCTTGCAGTGCCTCTATACCATCATTATAACCTAACAGGAACATTCGAGAAGATCCTTGCTGCACCGGATCAGTGCATCACTCTGCCCAAGTAAACATTCGATAATCTTGCCTTAGTGAGTACAGTATTGGAGTGGAAAAGCTCAGAAAGCATACACAAATTTTCTGTCAATTTTTTTAAACACTGCTGTATGATTTTAACTGATTTTTATTTTTAATTACTGAACAAATAAAACTTACTGAAAATAGTATTAAAAATTATGTTTTGGGTGTAACACACAACACACAAGCCACAGTCTCATCCACAGTCGTGCTTCTTGTACAGTGATGTGACAGGCCAAACATAAGACACGGTAACATGGAGGAAAGGTTTGGGGTCTGCTGGTGTACATATATATTTCAAGAAATGAATAATATATTAATTCATAATATTATGTCAGTGTATTTATGATCATGTGCTTTATTAGTAGTAACTGTAGATAATGTGTGTTAAAAATATCGCTCTGAGTAAATACAACAAGTTTCTTGCCAAGTAAATCACTTGGGTGCTCCCCAAGGCAACATCCATCGAGTCCATAGAAATGGATTGTGAAAAGCCAGACAGGTCAACATTCTGTCATACGTGCACAAGTGAATCTATCAAACATCTCTGCAAGGGCATACAGTGTAGCCCCACTTGAATGGATAGATTATTGCTAAACCCTCATCCACTGCAGCAGATTTGTAACAAACTGCCTTAACTTCTTCCAGCATTAGTTATCATTGTCACTACTTTCTGGTATTTATTGACCACTGTTATTATATCTTCATTACTTCATATAAAATATTTTATCACAATTTGATGATAAAATTACTTGGTGTAGATAAATTTTTAAATATTTTGTTGAATTATGATACTCAGAACTGCATTTGTGATGCGATGCTGCTGAGCTGCATAAATGGCTTTCTGGCGCAAATAATTACCCTTGCAGAGTCTGCATGAAAAATTGTGTGTGGTTCCGCTTGACAAGTATATCATCCTGCCTGACTGTAGTACACAATCCTGTCCTATAAGTGCAGATCTTGCCTTAAGGACCAGCCAAATGTGAAAGCTGAGAACAAAAATTATACTAGTGGATTACTGTAATCAAATAGTGCAACTGAATAACAAGAATTATACCATACACATTTTGCCCATACATGCCAAGTTCAGGATACAATATACAGTAGTTATAAAATAGCAAGACTCATTTTAAAGCACAATGAGCATGCCTTAGCAGTATATCACAAATGTTATGTAAAGAAGTGTGTGCTTTTGATTCACGTCTATAGACTTGGAATATTGTTAACACTTTCTTTTACATTAAAACATCACACTGGCATTCGCAAACATTACCTGGTATCATAGAACCTTTAGTCATTGGTCTGTCAACTGCCGCTATTCCTAAGCGCTTTCCTGTTGGGTTAATATATACCTAGCACTAGAGAAGCAGCCAATCAAATTATCTGTAAAGTATCTGTACTGTACTATATGAAGCAACATTATCCCTGAAAAAATATGCAGTTAAATGTGTCTACATCATGTGGTTTCAAAAGTTAAGCAACTCAGTCTAGATATCAATATGAAATTTCCCATACAAAAATGTAATAAATCTGTAAAAGAAACTGCCCCCAAGGTTGATATTTCAAAAATAATGAAAACATTACCCCCTTAGGCATGTACTGTACTACAGCGCAAAATATGGGATACATGTACGTAATAGGATATGGATTAAAAATAATATTCACTAAACCAAAATTAAAGATTCTAAAGATATTAAAAGCTGGTTGTAAAGCTCTAAAATAGCACAGCACATTAAGGTATAGGTATACCAAATCTGAAGCAATTTATGTAAACTACCTCTTAAGCTGAGAACAGAAACACTTGAAATATATATACATAACACATTATTATTAAAAAAAGTACACTGGAGAATTCGGCAGAGATGAGAAATAAGCATATAGAAGAATACACTTTGGGAACCTAAATATGCCTACTGTTTCAGGCCACTTTTAAAACTAAATATGTACTGTACAGTTAAGATGTCATACAGTACATTGATCACATGCATACTATACAGTAGCCAGTTCCACAATAAATATCAGAAAAATATTAAATTCTAAAAGTTGACTTGTATAATATTTAAAAACATGCACATTACAGTATTTGTAATTCTATAAGTATGATGCTGACAAAAGTAACAGTCACCTGACTTATTTAGTCAAGATAAAAGCTCTATGGGCAAGTATGCTATGTACAGTTCAAACATACCACTCACATTCATTACAATATATAACAGAGTTGAGACAGATTTTTATTGCACGTGAAAGGATTTTCCGCAATTTAGGATCCTTCATTTACATAGCATTTCTACTTTTACTACAGATGGACTCTGGGAACATCAAAGATATTTGATTCCAGTGTAGTACTGTATCAAAGTTCTTTTTGCAAACCTCTTAAAACGTTTAATTTTAGGATTGGTATATCGAGGTCTAGAGTTTTAATTTTTTTTTTTTTTTTTTTTTTTTTTTTTTTGAGATATATACAAGAGTTGTTACATTCTTGTACAGCCACTAGTACGCGTAGCGTTTCGGGCAGGTCCCTGGAATACGATCCCCTGCCGCGAAGAATCTTTTTTTTATCCAAGTACACATTTTACCGTTGCGTTAAACAGAGGCTACAGTTAAGGATTTGCGCCCAGTAAATCCTCCCCGGCCAGGATACGAACCCATGACATAGCGCTCGCGGAACGCCAGGCGAGTGTCTTACCACTACACCATCGGAGACTGTAACTGAAAAGACTGTAGTGAAATATGGAGAATGCACAGGAGAATGTGTGTAATGCTTTTATATACATAATATTTAATGATCTGAACACAGGCAGGGTAATTTGGTTGAATATACATACTGTGCCTAACTTTTTTTGGGGGGTTGATGATAAACATAGTTACTTTTCTTCCCCTTAATATAACTTTTTTTTTAAGGCCTCACTTAGAGTATAAAATGTTTCCACAAAATACAATTTAATCACAAAGCATGTGTACTAGATTTGATTAAAATGAAAGGGGCCCCAAGACAGATATGCGTACAGAAGTCAAAGTAGAATTTGAGAATTATTTTTAAGGTGTTTAAAAATCAAACATTCTCTACATCAACAAAATTATATTTCCCAAAGAGCACTTTGGGAGCTGCATCATTCAAGATTAGCCAATTATGAATCAATTTATTAATGGGATTGACTATATTTTTGGGTCTCCTAACAACTGGTTCATTGACACACTGATGATACCATCGTGCCAGTACAAATAGGTTGTAAGTTGGTCAGACCATGAAGGAGCTCTTGAGGTATGACTCACAAATGGACAATGGAGAAAAGCAAAACACTGCATACTAATATGACAAAGCAGAACCATGATACTTCCTTGATAAGGATACCTGCTGATGGTTACAGTATGTTAAATACAGTCTAATTCAATAATTCACTGTGTCGGGGGGACAGGAACCCAGAGTGTATTCATACATGTTAGGCTTTTATCGAGATCCTCCCCCCCCCCACCAGGGTCAAATTACTGACTCCACCCAGGATGCAACCCCACAACAAGCTGACTAACTCCTAAGTACCTACTTGCTGCTAGGTGAACAGGTGCATTAGGTAAAAGGAAATGTACCGAACCATTTCTGTCCCGCCCGGGATTCGAACCCAGAATTCTCGATCATGCGTCGAGAATGAACCCAACTGTGCTACTGGGACCCTACAGTAGTACAATAATTTTGTGTTTACTTCTAACCTTATCGATGGTTTGGAATTTTGGCTACATTTTTTATTACTAGCAAATAATGCAATGATAATTGACATGCTTCAAAATCTTGAAATTTAAGAATATTAAAGAATACTCAAGTACAAATAAAAAAACGCATAAATAAATCATTGAATAGACAAGGCAGGAGGCACATGATATGTGCAGTCTGTGAATTATGTGCATTTTAGAATCTTTATATACTGTACTGTACTTTCTATATCAAACAAAGCTTGACTTGAAAGAGGAGGCAAAGTTGAGAGCATTACAGTATTATATTTCAAGAGAAACACCAAGTGATTGGTGTGGCATCCCTCATTTCTTATGATCTCATAATCCATCATCCCAGGGGGGGCTGATAGCCGAGTGGACAGCGGTCTGAACTCGTAATCCTAGGGTCTGGGTTCGATCCCTGATGATGGCAGAAACAAAATAGGCAGAGTTTCTTTCACCCTGATGCCCCATTACCCTAGTAGTAAATAGGTACCTGGGAGTTAGAAAGCTATTATGGGCTGCTTCCTGTAATTACCTAAGTGTAATTACCTGTGTGTGTGTGTGTGTGTGTGTGTGTGTGTGTGTGTGCGTGTGAGAGAAAAAATTAGTACTGTAATTAGTAACAGTTGATTGATTGACAGTTGAAAGGTGGACCACAACTAAGTGAATACAAGTTTGACATTATTTCTAAAATCTTTGACAGAATGTTATTTCTATGCTGTGATGAGGTCCACTTGCCTCTTTCGTCCAATACCCAATCCGAGTGATTTTTTGTTCCATTCTTATTTTCCATCTTACACCAAAGTAATTTTGAAAGTGATTTTGGTATAATCAGCAAATGACATGAAATAGAGGGTAATGTTCTTTTAATGTCTAATATAAGAGTAGCAGAGTGAGGACAGTGCCTCATCATAGCAGACTTTTGATTGTATTCCAACTGGATTTTGTTTGTTTTACTGTTACTAAGTGACCACTTTAAGCAAGACCTCACTATACTGATGAAAACTATCTTACAGCAAATTAAAATTATTCTAAAAAAATAAAAGGACAAGATTCTCATCTTGCTCATTATTTACCTGCAGTGATAGGGCGCTGATCAAAGGAAGTTCCCAAAGCAGCACGATCAACAGGTATTTCGTCCATCTTGTGTACATTTGCTATTTTTATCTTTACCTTTTGTGACTTGTCTGGTCCCCTCTATATCCTGAAAGTAATAATCAGTCAGTCTCAAACATAAAATGGAAAATTACAATTATGATACGTGTATACAGAAAATAAACATGTCTTCTCTTGGTGCATCTCATCTCATATGCTGGAATGTTGTAATAAATATAAATCATGCCTTTCTAGCTCTTTCCTTCAGTTGTACTGTACTTGTATTTGCCTGAGAATTCCCCCGCCATCTCTAGTGGCATCATAGATTACAGTACAGTGTGCATCATTTGTAGTAATTGGTAGTTGCACAAGAGATTAAGGTGGGTCTGACAGCTGTCAGTGGCTGGAAAAAGTATTCTATCGTCTACGTTCTTCAAAATTTATAAAAGGGTTGGCAATTAGCTATCATCCCTCATAGGTAGAGGAGTATACCTTCTATATTTGTGTTATAGCCTGTCAGCCATCTGCTTCCATGAGCACAGTCACTGATAATTACAAAAGGCTTTGCAGTATGTAGGATTAATATACAAGGATCCCTCAACATCACTGCATTCCTACATTTAACTGTATATGTAGTGAATTTGGTAATATATATTGCCTGAATTTACCAGAGCCACCGTTTCTAGTGGCCTTGACAGGGTCAAAAAGCTGGTAGCTTGTCAAAGGCCCTTTCCATTATTCCCGAGGATTTTTTCCTAGCTGAATTTTAAACAGAAGTACTGTACAGTGCTGAATTGTCTTGGCATTTACAGTTTGTGGGTAGGTGATTCAATGGATTTATTACCGTATGGGTGAAAAAGAATCCGTTTTCTTTCCTGCATTGTGATTTATTACGTTTAAAGCTGTACCCTTTGTGCGCATTACATTGGCGCTTTTAAATAAGTAGTCTGGATCAGTAGCTTCCTATTTGTTCAGTACTTTAAAAGTCTCGACGAGATCAGCCCTATGATGTCTGATATGGTGATTAATGTAATAAATTTATTTAATTTGTGTAATTTAGAATAAAATTGTTAACCATATAAAGTGAGCGTGGTTTTTACAACAATTGTTCACCAATTAATTTCTTATACAGAGTGTAGTCATTTATTATTAATTCAATGACTAATTCATTGTGTCAGGGAACAGGCAGCCAGTATGTACACTGTTTACATGTTAGGATTATATTGAGGTTCCCCCCAAGGTCAAATTATTGACCCTCCCTAGGAGGCAACCCCACAACAAATGGATTAACTCCTGGGTAGCTAGTTACTGCTAAGTGAATAGGTTCATTAGGTGATAGGAAATGTACACAACCATTTCTGTCTCACCTGGGATTAAAATCTTGAATTCTAGATTGTGAGTCAAGAACGAACCCAACTGTACCACATAGGATCCCATGAAGAATATATTATTTACCAATGACAACACTAATAATATACTGTATATTTATATATATATATGTTTTTAAGTTGAGGATTTTTTAATTAATTAGTTTAACTATACGATTTATTTTCGAAGTCTTCTTGTGATAACTTGACAGCCTAATTCATCACGTAAATGAATGGTACAAAAGTCATGTCCTTACTCTTTAATTAACAACAGTTCTATAGTTGTGTACCACTGTTGTCTCCTCCACGACAGCAGACTACGAGGAGGTTTCCAGGAGGCAGTTCCGAAGCAGACTTCCAGGTGAGGGAAGAGCGGTGCTGGAAACTCACCAGCTGGAATGTTTGTGTTGTTGTGGACGGTTGCCATGACAACACCAAGGCTCACTCCAGTGTTGCCAGATCCAAATTCCTGAAAGTAGCGAATTTCTAGTAAGAGTAGCGAAATTTTTTGTTTAGTGACTGATACGGGTTTCAAAGTAATATATTTTGATATATAGAGTACACTACACGATGTTAATTGTTTTATTAATATTATTTCTGCACACACACACACCACACACAAACACCACACACACACACACACACACACACACACACACACACACACACACACACACACACACACACACACACACACACACACACACACGCGCACACACGCACACACACACACACACACACACACACACACACACACACACACACACACACACCTTGTTGGGACGCGAACAAGGGGACACAGGTGGAAACTGAGTACCCACATGAGCCACAGAGACGTTAGAAGGAACTTTTTCAGTGTCAGAGTAGTTAACGGATGGAATGCATTAGGCAGTGATGTGGTGGAGGCTGACTCCATACACAGTTTTAAATGTAGATATGATAGAGCCCAGTAGGCTCAGGAATCTGTACACCAGTTGATTGACAGTTGAGAGGCGGGACCAAAGAGCCAAAGCTCAACCCCCGCAAGCACAAATAGGTGAGTACAAATAGGTGAGTACACACACACACACACACACACTTTTTTTAACCTAAAAAGGGGTTCCACCTCTGGTGCAAGTGTATGGACCCATAGTCTCGGAGAAGAAAATAAAGAGTACCCAGAGAAGACCTTGTGGATCCTCACTGAACACTTTGATATTTTCTTCTACCATCCCTATTCTTTTAGTATATGTGTATATATATATCTAACTTTATTTTAAAATTTCATTACACAGAGAGGGTAATGCACAACTTGAAGCCCAAGTGACACGTACCCCTGGAGCCCGACCTATTGTGTAACTGGAGCCCAACCAGTTGTGTAACTGGACCCCGACCAGCTGTGTAACCGGACCCCGACCAGCTGTGTAACCGGACCCCAACCAGTTGTGTAACCAGACCCCGACCAGCTGTGTAACCAGACCCCGACCAGTTGCGTAACCAGACCCCGACCAGCTGTGTAACCAAACCCCGACCAGCTGTGTAACCAGACCCCGACCAGCTGTGTAACCAGACCCCGACCAGCTGTGTAACCAGACCCCGACCAGCTGTGTAACCAGACCCCGACCAGTTGTGTAACCAGACCCCGACCAGTTGTGTAACCAGACCCCGACCAGTTGTGTAACCAGACCCCGACCAGTTGTGTAACCAGACCCCGACCAGTTGTGTAACCAGACCCCGACCAGTTGTGTAACCAGACCCCGACCAGTTGTGTAACCAGACCCCGACCAGTTGTGTAACCAGACCCCGACCAGTTGTGTAACTGCAAGCCTAGCATGAACGACCCGAATAAAACCTCTGAATCACAACCATGCATGAACCGAAGCCCGACCATGCACAACCCGAAGCCCCAGTAACACCCCCGGAGCCCGACCAGTTAAGAAACCGGAGCCCGACCAGTTATTTAACCGGAGCCCGACCAGTTATTTAACCGGAGCCCGACCAGTTGTGTAACCAAAGCCCTACCAGTTGTGTAACCGGACCTCGACCAGTTGCGTAACCGCAAGCCTAGCATAAACGACCTGAACAAAACCTCTGAAGCACAACTATGCACGAACCGAAGCCCGACAATGCACAACCCGAAGCCCCAGTAACACCCCCGGAGCCCGACCAGTTAAGAAACCGGAGCCCGACCAGTTATTTAACCGGAGCCCGACCAGTTATTTAACCGGAGCCCGACCAGTTGTGTAACCAAAGCCCTACCAGTTGTGTAACCGGACCTCGACCAGTTGCGTAACCGCAAGCCTAGCATTAACGACCTGAACAAAACCTCTGAAGCACAACTATGCATGAACCGAAGCCCGACCATGCACAACCCGAAGCCCCAGTGACACCCCCGGAGCCCGACCAGTTAAGTAACCGGAGCCCGACCAGTTGTGTAACCAAAGCCCGACCAGTTGTGTGACCAGACCCCGACCAGTTGTGTAATCAAAAGCTTAACATGAACGACCCGAACAAAACCTCTCAAGCACAACCATGCATGAACCGAAGCCCGACCATGCACAACCCGAAGCCCCAGTAACACCCCCGGAGCCCGACCAGTTAAGAAACCGGAGCCCGACCAGTTATTTAACCGGAGCCCGACCAGTTATTTAACCGGAGCCCGACCAGTTGTGTAACCAAAGCCCTACCAGTTGTGTAACCGGACCTCGACCAGTTGCGTAACCGCAAGCCTAGCATAAACGACCTGAACAAAACCTCTGAAGCACAACTATGCACGAACCGAAGCCCGACCATGCACAACCCGAAGCCCAGTGACACCCCCGGAGCCCGACCAGTTAAGTAACCGGAGCCCGACCAGTTGTGTAACCAAAGCCCGACCAGTTGTGTGACCAGACCCCGACCAGTTGTGTAATCAAAAGCTTAACATGAACGACCCGAACAAAACCTCTGAAGCACAACCATGCACGAACCGAAGCCCGACCATGCACAACCCGAAGCCCCAGTGACACCCCCGGAGCCCGACCAGTTAAGTAACCGGAGCCCGACCAGTTGTGTAACCAAAGCCCGACCAGTTGTGTGACCAGACCCCGACCAGTTGTGTAATCAAAAGCTTAACATGAACGACCCGAACAAAACCTCTGAAGCACAACCATGCACGAACCGAAGCCCGACCATGCACAACCCGAAGCCCCAGTAACACCCCCGGAGCCCGACCAGTTAAGAAACCGGAGCCCGACCAGTTATTTAACCGGAGCCCGACCAGTTATTTAACCGGAGCCCGACCAGTTGTGTAACCAAAGCCCTACCAGTTGTGTAACCGGACCTCGACCAGTTGTGTAACCGCAAGCCTAGCATAAACGACCTGAACAAAACCTCTGAAGCACAACTATGCACGAACCGAAGCCCGACCATGCACAACTCGAAGCCCCAGTAACACCCCCGGAGCCCGACCAGTTAAGTAACCGGAGCCCGACCAGTTATTTAACTGGAGCCCGACCAATTGTGTAAACAAAGCCCCACCAGTTGTGTAACTAGACCTCGACCAGTTGTGTAACCGCAAGCCTAGCATAAACGACCCAAACAAAACTTCTTTAGCACAACTATGCACGAACCGAAGCCCCAGTGACATCCCCTGAGCCCGACCAGTTAAGTAACCGGAGCCCGACCAGTTGTGTAACCAAAGCCCGACCAGTTGTGTGACCAGACCCCGACCAGTTGTGTAATCAAAAGCTTAACATGAACGACCCGAACAAAACCTCTAAAGCACAACCATGCATGAACCGAAGCCCGACCATGCACAACCCGAAGCCCCAGTGACACCCCCGGAGCCCGACCAGTTAAGTAACCAAAGCCCGACCAGTTGTGTAACCGGACCCCGACCAGTTGTATAATCAAAAGCTTAACATGAACGACCCGAACAAAACCTCTGAAGCACAACCATGCATGAACCGAAGCCCGACCATGCACAACCCGAAGCCCCAGTAACACCCCCGGAGCCCGACCAGTTAAGAAACCGGAGCCCGACCAGTTATTTAACCGGAGCCCGACCAGTTTTTTAACCGGAGCCCGACCAGTTATTTAACCGGAGCCCGACCAGTTGTGTAACCAAAGCCCTACCAGTTGTGTAACCGGACCTCGACCAGTTGCGTAACCGCAAGCCTAGCATTAACGACCTGAACAAAACCTCTGAAGCACAACTATGCATGAACCGAAGCCCGACAATGCACTACCCGAAGCCCCAGTAACACCCCCGGAGCCCGACCAGTTAAGAAACCGGAGCCCGACCAGTTATTTAACCGGAGCCCGACCAGTTATTTAACCGGAGCCCGACCAGTTGTGTAACCAAAGCCCTACCAGTTGTGTAACCGGACCTCGACCAGTTGCGTAACCGCAAGCCTAGCATTAACGACCTGAACAAAACCTCTGAAGCACAACTATGCATGAACCGAAGCCCGACCATGCACAACCCGAAGCCCCAGTGACACCCCCGGAGCCCGACCAGTTAAGTAACCGGAGCCCGACCAGTTGTGTAACCAAAGCCCGACCAGTTGTGTGACCAGACCCCGACCAGTTGTGTAATCAAAAGCTTAACATGAACGACCCGAACAAAACCTCTGAAGCACAACCATGCATGAACCGAAGCCCGACCATGCACAACCCGAAGCCCCAGTGACACCCCCGGAGCCCGACCAGTTAAGTAACCGGAGCCCGACCAGTTGTGTAACCAAAGCCCGACCAGTTGTGTGACCAGACCCCGACCAGTTGTGTAATCAAAAGCTTAACATGAACGACCCGAACAAAACCTCTGAAGCACAACCATGCATGAACCGAAGCCCGACCATGCACAACCTGAAGCCCCAGTAACACCCCCGGAGCCCGACCAGTTAAGAAACCGGAGCCCGACCAGTTATTTAACCGGAGCCCGACCAGTTATTTAACCGGAGCCCGACCAGTTGTGTAACCAAAGCCCTACCAGTTGTGTAACCGGACCTCGACCAGTTGCGTAACCGCAAGTCTAGCATAAACGACCTGAACAAAACCTCTGAAGCACAACTATGCACGAACCGAAGCCCGACCATGCACAACCCGAAGCCCCAGTAACACCCCCGGAGCCCGACCAGTTAAGAAACCGGAGCCCGACCAGTTATTTAACCGGAGCCCGACCAGTTATTTAACCGGAGCCCGACCAGTTGTGTAACCAAAGCCCTACCAGTTGTGTAACCGGACCTCGACCAGTTGCGTAACCGCAAGCCTAGGATAAACGACCTGAACAAAACCTCTGAAGCACAACTATGCACGAACCGAAGCCCGACCATGCACAACCCGAAGCCCCAGTGACACCCCCGAGGCCCGACCAGTTAAGTAACCGGAGCCCGACCAGTTGTGTAACCAAAGCCCGACCAGTTGTGTGACCAGACCCCGACCAGTTGTGTAATCAAAAGCTTAACATGAACGACCCGAACAAAACCTCTGAAGCACAACCATGCACGAACCGAAGCCCGACCATGCACAACCCAAAGCCCCAGTGACACCCCCGGAGCCCGACCAGTTAAGTAACCGGAGCCCGACCAGTTGTGTAACCAAAGCCCGACCAGTTGTGTAACCGGACCCCGACCAGTTGTGTAATCAAAAGCTTAACATGAACGACCCGAACAAAACCTCTGAAGCACAACCATGCACGAACCGAAGCCCGACCATGCACAACCTGAAGCCCCAGTAACACCCCCGGAGCCCGACCAGTTAAGAAACCGGAGCCCGACCAGTTATTTAACCGGAGCCCGACCAGTTATTTAACCGGAGCCCGACCAGTTGTGTATCCAAAGCCCTACCAGTTGTGTAACCGGACCTCGACCAGTTGCATAACCGCAAGCCTAGCATAAACGACCTGAACAAAACCTCTGAAGCACAACTATGCACGAACCGAAGCCCGACCATGCACAACCCGAAGCCCCAGTAACACCCCCGGAGCCCGACCAGTTGAGAAACCGGAGCCCGACCAGTTGTGTGACCAGACCCCGACCAGTTGTGTAATCAAAAGCTTAACATGAACGACCCGAACAAAACCTCTGAAGCACAACCATGCACGAACCGAAGCCCGACCATGCACAACCCGAAGCCCCAGTGACACCCCCGGAGCCCGACCAGTTAAGTAACCGGAGCCCGACCAGTTGTGTAACCAAAGCCCGACCAGTTGTGTAACCGGACCCCGACCAGTTGTGTAACCAAAGCCCGACCAGTTGTGTAACTGGACCCCGACCAGTTGTGTAACTGCAAGCCTAGCATGAACGACCTGAACAAAACCTCTGAAGCACAACCATGCACGAACCGAAGCCCGACCATGCACAACCCGAAGCCCCAGTGACATTCCCGGAGCCCGACCAGTGAAGTAACCGGAGCCCGACCAGTTGTGTAACCGAAGCCCGACCAGTTGTGTAACCAGACCCCGACCAGTTGTGTAACCGCATGACTAGCATGAACGAACCGAACAAAACACCTGAAGTACAACCATGCAAGTACAGAAGCCCGACAATGCACAGCCCGAAGCCCAAGTTACATACCCATAGCCCGAACAGTTATGTAACCGGAGCCCAACCTGTTGTGTAGCTTGACCCCGACCAGTTGTGTAATCAGACCCCGACCAGTTGTGTAACCGAAGCCCGACCAGTTGTGTAACCGAAGGCCGACCAGTTGTGTAACCGAAGGCCGACCAGTTATTTAACCGCAAGCCTAGCATGAACGAACCGGAGCCCGATCATGAACAACTAGAAGCCAACAAGTCACGCCCCCGGAGCCCAACCAGTTGTGTAATCGCAAGCCTAACAAGCAAATCTCTCACCCAACCCCCCCACCAGTGTGCTAAGTAGGGTGCCAAAAAGGTCCATTTTGGGGCCAACCCTTTTTGTCATGTACATCAATGACATAGATGAGAAGATTACAAACCAAATCAAATTTGCAGATGACACTAAGATCTATGGTAAAATGATAAGTGAAAGCCATATTGAAACCTTACAAAGAGATCTACATGAACTCCACAAATGGTCAGATGACATTTTAATGTCGATAAATGCAATTTGTGACCACCATTTGGTCACCACTTGGTCCGGGAGACATCTCCCGTCACGCAGGGTGCAGTTGCGCCTCCACAGATCTCCAGTATCATCTTTTGATACTGGTAATGGCTCGAAAGGGCCACCACTTACGGGCTATTCATGCCCGTGCCACCTCTTGGGTGGCTTAATCTTCATCAATCAATCAATCGATAAATGCAAGACCTTGCATGTGGGGGCATAACAATCCACGTCACAACTACCTAATTGACAGCACTACCTTTCAACAGATAGATGAAGATAAGCACCTTGGAGTCAGAATACATCACGTGAGGCATAGTAATACACAACACAACTACCAAATCATCAACATTATCTTGGCGTCAGAATCCATCTATCACTGACAGTAGTACAAACAGCCCCAGAGCGGCTGGGGAGGCAGCAAGTGGCAGTAAAAAAACAAACCAAACCCTGGGAATAATCATGCGTACCTTTACCTTCAAGGAAAAGAAAGTAGATCTTCAATTGTATAAGTTTCTGGTGCGCCCCCACATGAATTAGTGCATCCAGGCATGGAGACCTCATCTTCAGAAAGACATAGCTGCTCTGAAGCCATGTCTCACCAGAGCTATGGAGCTGTGTCTTACCACAAAAATCATACCAGAGCTTAGTCATCTGTTGTATCAGGAACGGTTGAGGGCCACAGGGCTAACACCACAAACAGGGCGGACTTCATAGAAACCTTTAAAATACTAAACAATTTGGAGGATGTCGATCAGGACAATGTCTTCAAAAGACCAGATGTTACATGAACAAAGAGCAACGGGTTCACACTCAACAAGCCAGAATGTTGGACAGGAAATAGGAGATGCTTTTTCACCCATAGGGTTGTAAACCAGTGGAACCGCCTACCCGCCGAAGCAGCAAACGCCAAACCTCTGCTGGATTTTAAAATACAGCTGGAAAAGATCATCAGGGCAAATGGGGGGACCTTTGACAAGCCGCCGGCTTACTGCCCTCATCGAGGCCACTAGTGTTAGTGGCCCTCAGGTAAATTCAGTTCCCGGAGGGGTGTCCCCGCTCCTTCCTGTTGGGAAGTTCATCTATTGCAGTATCATACTATCATGCAATAGGAGCCACACATCTATGGTTCATCCAATAATATCAGCAGACTTCTAGATGTTACTACTGCTCGGCTTAGACTTACAAGTATCCCTCGGAATTCCCATTATCTGCTGATGTAGACCTGACCAAATGTAAACTGTGTATCAAGATTGTAACTTGCTTAGCTTAAGGAATTGTGGGGTTCAGTCCCTGAGTCCATTATGTGCCTCTGTAACCCTTTCCATTACCACCCACAAGATGGGTATGGGGTGCATAATAAATGAACTAAACTAAACTATTACAGTATTTGTACATTGACCTGTCGCTTGTCACTAAACTTAGTTAACTATTAACTTGATGAAATAATATTACCTTATACGCGAGAATAATTCTGAATACACAGCGATAAAATTGACGAATGCGGTTGGTCGGCCGCGTAGGCGAGCCTGGCCTGAGGACAGGCGGCGGTGTAGGCGAGCCTGGCCTGAGGACAGGCAACTGTAAATGCTTCTCCCTCCACATACTTCAAGTGGAAATAATTGCCAACAGAACCTAAATACCGAACCTACTATACGCCTAATTACAGAATATTAAATTAATTTATACACGATAAAAACTTTTTAATACACAGTACGTGAAAGTCGATGATAAATGCGTCTTGGGATGTGGGGGAGACGACCTCCGCGTTAACAAGCCTAGCCTAACAACGGGGTAGTTTAACACTCTGGGGAAGTGTATTCTCCATAATATCCTACCCATATAATGTTGGCAAATCATAATCCTCAAAATCTTCCACAATATCCGAGAGGGGACAGACTATTTAGCATTAGTGGAATACAAACATTTGAATAGAATTACAGAACCCGGATGAAAAAAAAATACGAAAACAATGACCCTCGGAGACATTACAAAATAGCGAACAAATGCATTAAGCATTGTAGGTGGAGGTAGACTATATATTCATGCGTACCTCCCAACTGCCGAGATATATTTAAAAAAAAAAAAAAAAAATCTTATCAGCCTTACCTACACGGGAGCGACGCACCACACGCCACCGCTGCTTCCTGACGACTGGCGGGGTCGGGGTCAGTGACCCGGTCACCCAACCGACCCAGAGACCCCCTGCCTAAAATTATTTGAACGCCATATTCAAATTCCTAGCGTATAGCGCCAGGAATGTGTAAATTAATATTTATATGCATTATAGGCCTTTCTAAAATAATTTATAGATCTGAATATCATATATTAGCTAACAAACAAATTATTTAAGTTAAGATTTTAATTATGCCAGATACAAATCTCATCGCACACAAGATGATTCGTCGGCGGATTTATTTTTTTATTATTTATTTATATATAAAAAAGTTTTTAAAATTCTTGTAAAGCCACTATAGCATGCATAGCGTTTCCGGTAGGTTCTTAATCCTATTTTTTCCCCCGGAGTATGACCCGCCAAATCGTTTAACAACCTATTCTCGGCTTGGTGAACAGTTAAGGATTGTCGCCCGGTCAGTCCTTCCCGGCCAGGATACGAATGCAAGTCAAAGGGCTGGCGAAGAGCCGGGCGAGTGCTTTACCACTGCGCCACAGAGACTGCTCCGTGGCGTAGTGGAATTTTGAATTTTGAAACCTGATTAATTAATTTAACACTGTAATGCGCCCAGCACTCTTGAAAAAAATAGCGCATTGTGCGCGCGGCATTTTGGGCTCTTGAGCGTAAACACCAAAAAGTGTGTAATCTTTTCACTCTCCTGACACCAATTCCTGAGCTACGTATTTCATTTTGGTATCAATGTGTTGGCAATAAAATACTCTACAAGATCATATGTATAAAATGTCCCCAAAGCATTAGCTATTCCACCACGAAATAAATAAAAACGTAGATCACTCGCCGTGACGCCCAAACAGCAACAAAATGTTCATACTCTTTTGTTTGTTGTCAGCTCCACATTAGTCCTACAGCGTTAAACTTTATATCAATGAACTCGCAATAAAATTCCCTACAGAGACATATGCATATAAATGTAGAATCATGATCGCGGCTCACACCAAGAGTGTGTGAAGTGGGCGATTACCCTCGTTGTGTCAACAACTCAATAGTCTCTCCACTAAGTTACAATACAATGCCGTTCTCCCAAATAGGCCATGTGCCTATTAGAGAAAACGGAAATTTAATGGCAAACATTTTCATACCAATCCCAAGTCGATCGAATAAGAATTGGATTTTATGTTTTTTTTTTTTTTACATCGCGCGGCTATTTACAACGCGGCTACGGATTCCGTTTAAGCAAACCCGTCGTGTATTTACGACCCGGCTGTATTAAAGTGTTTAATTAACATAGATCAACCCAACCTAACGTAACCCAAATAAAACCAATCTAATCCAACCGAGCCCAATGCAGCCTAACCTTAATAACATAACCTAATACAGCCTAGCATAACAATACATCTGGATTTAAAACAGAAAATGAGTTTAGCCGAATCGTCTCGTGTCCGAGTGTAACCAGAACCCGACCAGTTGTGTACCTATACTGACCTAGCAAACAAACACCTGCAGACGAGGAGTCTCAATAACGTGGCTGAAATATGTTGACCAGACCACACACTAGAAAGTGAAGGGATGACGACGTTTCGGTCCGTTCTGGACCATTCTCAAATCGATTGTGAGAATGCACAATTGACTTGAGAATGGTCCAGGATGGACCGAAACGTCGTCATCCCTTCACTTTCTAGTGTGTGGTTTGGTCAACAAACACCTCACCTAACCAGACAAACACCCTCCTAACTCTTCCAAGCACACTGAGAGCCGTACCAAAGTAGGGAGGGTCCACAGACGAGAACGTGGTTGTAAGTATAGGTCCACAGACATGGGCTCCAGTGTCCATCATCTGGGTTATAGGGTAACAATGTGGGGGTAGAAATAGCCTAAGCTACTCTATCCCTTTCGATGTATATCTTTCTTATCTCAATAAACATACTTGAACTTGAAGGGCAACAGTGCATTGCTTTGCTCAGAGAGTATAATGCTGCTAACACAGCCCTGCCTTCAATATGCAAACTTTTCAGGATTATTTAATTAGCTAGGATTGACCTGAATTTACCAGAGGGTCACTATCTCTCAGTGAGGATAGGAAGCCGGCGGCTTGTCAAATGTTCCCTATTTGCCTTGGTGATTTTATCGAGCAATGTTTTATCATTTACTGCTTCGTCGGGTATGCGTTTCCACAACTGTATAATTCTATAGGAAAAAGCAAATATTTTCCATCCTTCAGTGTGGCTTGTTAAGATCGAAACCGTTGCTCCTTGTTCGTCTTACATCTAGCCTTTGAAGAAGTGTTCTGGGTCAATATCTTCCAAATTGTTCAGTAATTTAAAAGTTTTGCTGAGAGCAGCCCTGTCATTACACACATAAATCACAATAGCGTGATTCATCAAATGAACAAATCCACAAGGGCCTTGACGAGGATTCGAACCTGCGTCTGAGAGCATCCCAGACTGCCTTAATCGACTGTCATGTCTGGTCCCTGTGGCCCTCAACCGTTCCTGGTATGAAAGTTGATTTTGTTCGGAAAGGATTTTAGTCGCCCGGTGTTGAACTTTCTCCAAACAACACTACATTGTGGAACTAAACAGTTCCACAATGTAGGACAGATAACAAGAGATGTTTTTTCACCCATACTGTTGCTAACCAATAAAACTACCTACCCACCGAAGACGTAAATGCCAGAACATAAGTTCAATTCAAAATTTTTGTATTAAGGCAGATATTTTGTCCACGTTTTCCATGTATGACTAACCATTCTGTGATATGGGAATATTAGATAAACTTATAGCTTGTTTTTTTATCTACACTGTGTAATCTTTCATATAGATTAGGGTAGCAGTACATTGCTGTGTACACATAAGCTTGTTAATGCAAAAAAGTCAAGCTGGAAAAAATCCACAGGAATAATGGAGTGATCTTTGACAAGCCGCCGGCTTCCCGTACTCATCTAATTATACTCAGATTCAGATTCAGATGTTTATTCAGGTAAGGTATATACATACAAGTGATGTTACATTAATGGATTGATATATAGATAGAGCTAGTACATACAATGCCTAAAGCCACTATTACGCAATGCGTTTCGGGCAAGAAAAACATTAATATCTAGAACTTAATACTAATTGAGCATAAAGAATAAAAAGTGTTGAGAACAAATACAAATAAAGATAAAAAAAGGGGGAACATGACTGAAAAAGCAGCACAAATACAATAGGTTGACAAACAGTGTTGATTAAAAAAAAGAAAATGAAAAAAAAAAGAAAATAACAGACATGGGTTGACAATAGAGGAGTGAGGTAGATTACAGGGAATTTATTAGGTAGTGTTTAGTTTTTATCTTAAACTGGTTGAGCGAGGTACAGTCTTTAACATGGTTGGGAAGGTCATTCCACATTCTGGGCCCCTTGATTTGCAGAGCATTTCTAGTTTGATTAAGACGTACTCTAGGAATATCAAAACTGTACTTATTTCTGGTGTGGTGCTCATGGGTTCTGTTACAACCTTCTATGAAGCTCACCTAATTGTGCTTGCGGGGGTTGAGCTCTGGCTCTTTGGTCCCGCCCCTCAACCGTCAATCAACTGGTGTACAGATTCCTGAGCCTACTGTGCTCTATCATATCTACATTTGAAACTGTGTATGGAGTCAGCCTCCACCACATCACTGCCTAATGCATTCCATTTACTAACTACTCTGACACTGAAAAAGTTCTTTCTTATGTTTCTGTGGCTCATTTGGGTACTCGGCTTCCACCTGTGTCCCCTTATGCGTGGGCTTCGGGAGAGAGGGTTGGCGTGAGTTTTAATCCCTCCCTTTCCACCCAAGAAGCAAATTAGAGATCAGCCCAAGCTTCGTCTTGAGGCAAAGCTCAACGCCTTAAGCCATATTGATGCTCTGTCCACAGAGCATTCTCTCTCTCTCAAATCATATACACTGATGGTTCCCTACACTGCACTCACATAATATAAAAAATCACATCACATAAAAAAAAATAATGACGGAGGGTAATCCATCGTTCCTAAGATGAACATATACAGAGCGAAAACGTCATCGGTCAAACAAATTTGTGATGAGCCTAATAAAAATAATATATTTATAACCTAACAATAAAAAATATAATGTATTATTCTATAGTATATAAGGAGTTATATATATACCTGTACATCCAAATTAAATTAATATTGATTTTACTTGGTAACGCGTTTCATATTCCAAGACGAGGTGGACCGCTGCGTTTCATGGCTCCTTTCTGTTGATGGTCGTCCACTAAGGTCGCCAGCATGGATCAGGTAAGACAGTTATTTCGTGATTTATGTTGATATTAGGCCTCGGATTGATGTTAAAGGGTACAATATTTTTGCTTTGTGAACTTCTGATCACCGAGAAGTGCCAAAGTTATATATTTAATAAGATAGAATGAAGATATGTAGCGTGGTGAGAGGAAGCCCGAACACGTGTTGATACAAGGCGGGCCGCTAAGGCCTTCCTCCTCATCCCTGATCCTTATCCTGATTCCTTCTAAGTGCTATATAGTCGTAATGGCTTTGCGCCTTCTGATTTTTTTTTGTATTATAGACCTAACGGGTTCAGTGTGGGATTTACCATTACTCTTGAAGCTCTTGTTTGGCGGGTCCGTCTTATTTACCCAAAGCTTCCTAGCATTACGTGAGTAATGAACTATGGTATATTTATTGCCTATAATGTTGGTGCTGAATATAGAATATGAAACATTTTCTTTGAAATATGATTTTATAAGGAAATTGGGTCCATCTAATTACCCTAAGCCACAATATTATCGCTTGGAGCGGCAACTTTATAGCATCACCTGGCACTTAGTTTCGTCTAATTTCGTTATAAAATATTATTTCAAGAGTTAAAATGTTTTTTCATGTTCTACATTCAGCACCAACATTATAGTGAGTAAATATATCATTTCATTACTTACATAATGCTAGGAAGCTTTGGGTAGATTTGTGTAATTAAACAGTGTGTGTTTGTCAGCTAAAAGACTGGATACTCAAACTTCCTCTAGTGATGCTATGAGTGGGTGCTGGTGTACATTTAGGTCATTTAGTGTCGATCGCGTGACACTGGTGCAGACATGACCAGTAAGTGCTGGGCACTCTTACTTTCCTCCATGTATTTCAGCTAAACATTTTTTTACACCTGTTATACAATAAGCTTCATATGTACTTAAACAATTTTTTGTGTAATGGAATATACATTTGCCTTAGGGTTTTGGAACAAATTTTGTTAACAATTGCCATTAAATGTGGTTGTAAATAAATGGTTCATTTATTGCCTTAAGAGAATCCATCATTTTTTAGGCGATTATCATTGACTATAGATGGCTGCAGGGTCGTGAAGACTTTAATACAGTCTATCGGAGAATAGTTGAATCTGCACGTTAATTGCATACTAGTAATTGTTATACCTTACTGGTTCTGCAGTCTCAATGCACATGCCAACCCAATTCCCACCCTTGGTTCTGTAATTCTATTTAGTTATTGCTTAACAAAAATAATTCAGTTTACATTATTGTTTAATGTTATGAATTGACTAAAGTAAAGGTATGTATATAGTTTACATAATCACAAGATTTATAATGTTAAGGGGGCAACTTGGAAATGTTGTTTGTCAACCAAACTTTTTTTTACTAGTTGTATATAAGAGCTGCAACTGTTCTACATTTCAGTATTGCACCCCAAATAGTAAGGGAGGGATTTTTTTTGTTTTTTTCAACAAATTTTACACTAAATATCCTACTTCTACCACAAGATTCAAATGACATCATTTCTATGACACTCGTATAAAAAGGATTATCCAAAATGTTTAGTTTTACTAATATAAGTAGTCAAAGTTCCCCAAAAATACATGCCAATATTTCATGGTTTGCAAATATTTGTGAAATCAATAAATGAACTTAGGTATAACGTGCTTTACAAAGGTTGTAGACGTAAACTTTACATATAAGGTGTAAATTGAAAAAAATTAGAGTAGCAGCAATTTTGTTACTTGACAATAAATAAGATCAAAGTTCCTGCCACCTGTGGTTGAAGTTGATTTCAACCACAGCCTCGGTTGATTGGTTGATTGGCTTTTGACCAATTTACTCCAAAATTTTTATCCTTACAGATAGGCTTACGTTCTGTAAGGTGTAAAAGTTTCATGCAAATTGGCTGATAAAAAATGAGAACTAGATTTTTTTTTTTTGGCATAAAACTGAATATTTAAATACTTTATTATATGCTTTTGTGATAGCTTAGTCAGACATGATTTCAGTTGACACTTGTTTGATAATTTTTGGCCATTTTGGAAAATTTGACACAATTCAATATTTTTTCTCCCTTCCTATTTATGCCACGATGCCGAGACTTGGGCCAGTTGAACCCAATTTCATATACAACTAGTGTATACAAATTGGCTAGTCAAAAAGTTTGATTGAAATCGAACCAGTTTCATTTTTGCATATTTTCGTACTACGCCCCTTAATAAGATTTAAACCTAATTTTTAAATTGTGAACCACTTCAAACTTCAAATTTTGAATGGAGCAGTGTTTAACATTGTGGGTACAGAAGGCCTGGGAAGCCAGCAGGTAGCAGTTTAACATATCACTTTAGTAGTTCTCTACTAGTTTTCTACAAAATGTTTAGTGTTATTTCATGTTATTTCAGTCAAACCTGGCAGTGTTGCACAAAGTGTTAACCTTTACAATAGTATACTATTATCAATAGTTCCATGATTGCATTTTTATTCTTATTGTTCAGTATGTCCATTCTAATGCCTTTGTAATTTTAAAATTACGTAAGGTTTCGCTTAAGGACTAGAGTAATCTGTTGAAGCACTAATGTCCTTCCTCATGAGAAGGCCAAGGTGTTAAACCGTACAAACTTTTCTAGCAGTTTTGTTGTATTCATGCCAGTATTTTTTATGCATTTAGTTTTTTAAAAGACTTGTAAGATGACTGAGTAGGAAATCTGTCATTTCCACAGTCTTGACTTAAATGTATTTACCTACAAATTTCACTGTGGTTTGCTATATAATTTAGGGAGTGTTGGGGACGGGTGGCTAGAAAAAAAAATGCCTTCATAAAAGTTGAAAGCATTAGGCCAGTAATGATATGAGGCTGACCTAGAGTGAGTATCTAATGATTAAGCCAAGCCAGCAATATACAGAGGCTGTAAGGAGGGCAAATAGATTTATGGGTATTTATTTGTAGCTCTTAACTTGAATAAAGAAGGCTGTACAGACCTATGAAATTCACTAGTGTTCTATTGAGTATTGCATACATTTCTGGGAGAAGATAATGACACAAACAAGATCAATATCGAGTAATGAAGCACTGTAATACAAAATTTATCGTCTCGCATAAATGAGTAATTTAATTTTAAAATCAAAGTAAATGATGATGATTATGAAATTTTTAAATTTTGTTAATAGTAAAAAGGCTGCAATGATTACAGAATTAGACCGATTCACTAATGAGGCTAAATAATTTTTCTTTAATAGTGATAAACATATAGTAAAAACGCTTAAAAACAAGGCCTTTGTCAGTGCCTGCACCTTTGTTGCCCTGTATTCCTTACATAAACAGCCTAGTTTAAATCTAATGGTCTGTTGCTATTTGTAATAATCTGATAAATATGTTCCAGACTGTTTATATAAATGAGCAATAGGTATATTTTTAAATTTTATTTTAATTTGAATATTGAACTCTTATTTTATTCAAAACAAATTTGCCAGATTAAACAGAAGACAAAGGATGCTGATACTATCATGCTTTAAGAAAGTAGTATTAAATCATACCTATATGATCACTAAAAATACACATGTTAGACTTGTAAATTGTTTAATATTAGACTAAGGTTATAGTACTACTTGTTACATAACATGGACTATTGTCATCCATAAGCCTTAACCTTGGTTAACCCTACACTGGGTTTTATTTGTTAATCTTATACAGCTGAGATTGAAGTTAAAGTATTGGATACTAAATAACACTGCGAGTTTATAAAATTAGTTTTATCACAATATAAATTGGCTAACCCTAGCTTAGGATTTAAAGTTAAATTGTAATTCAACTACACATTAGAGATAGCAACATTGTTACATAATTTGTTTAGCACTAGTAAACTTTTATTAACCGAGCAGCTGATTACAGAGCGAGCGAGCCTTCCAGAAGCAGCCGCTTGTTTTCCTGAACCGAAAGAAGGTTCTGGGAAAGAGGCCACGTGGCCTAAGACATACCCGACAGGTGGGACTTGGCTTCAAGGCCCCCCGTGAGGTAAGGAGGCACTCAGCACATGGCAGCCTCTGTAGGAGGTAGCCACTAGCAGGCATAGGCATGTTGGCTTAGGCCTGTTTGCATTGTCTGGTTGTTGCCTGTCTCCCTCCACCTCCTTCCCCCCCCCCCCATTCACCACTAGTGCCACATGTGACCTCTAGCACACTACCTGTCCAGTGTGTCGTGTGGGAAAACAATGGTATTGGAGAAGGAACACGTATCAAAGCGGAAGTGTGTAATGTTCGTTGTTTTTCATAATCCTTTGCTCACTTTGGTCAGTGTTCTTTCTCCGTACTGAGAGTTCTTTCCTACCTGTTCCTGCATGATGTGTGTGTGTAACCTTTAACATTGGCACCTTGCATGGTTGTTCCAGACCGAGAAGGCTTTCCAGAAGCAGCCCACAGTCTTCCTTAACTCCAAGACAGCCAAAGAAAAGGGAGGCAAAACAAAGCGCCATTTGCGTAAGGTTGGCCTGGGCTTCAAGACTCCCCGTGAGGTAGTAATATAGTGGCTTATTTTTGTACTTATTTACAATATAATTTGTCTTTAGCATTATATTTTTGTTAAATTATTCCTGCCTCTTGCAGGTAGATGTAGTTTGCCAGCATGTTGTGAATTTTAATATTTATTGCTCTATTTTTTACATTAAAGTTTTTTGGTTGTGCAGTAGTATAGCTAATCACAATACAATGTTAGTAATGGAAATTAGTTAATTTTTAAAACATGAAATATTGAAAATCATAATTTTAGAATAAATTTGTTAATGGATTCTAGAACTAAATACAGTACAATACTAGAATAAAATTTACATATATATTGTGTGTGTATATATATATATATATATATATATATATATATATATATATATATATATATATATATATATATACAATTAATTTTGGTAACATTCTTTTAAACATATTTTGTTGAAATCGACAAAGTTTTAGATTTGGGATTCTGGCAAGAATCTTCTTGATATTCCTTATGTTTTTCTTCACTGAAGCAGGAAGATTAAAAATTAACTCTCCAAAGTTCATTTTTATTTATTTGGATCTGACGCCTAGTGATGCATTTCGTAAGGTCACACCTAACGTTCTCAAAGACAAATTCTTTTGTGTAGCACCTGATTATATCCTCAAATGGTGAGGTGGTAGGTGACATGGATAAATGACATACATGGGGTATTAATGGGGTCCTATATAATGGGGTAGTAAATTAATTGTCCCTTTTGTCAATTTATGTACGATGGCTCACATCATTACTATACTATCTAAACAGGAGGATGGGATGAGATAAATACTGGTCTCATATCTCTTACCTGTTAAGCATCTTCATTACTTTACACTTACTGGCAGCATCCTACAGTCTTCAGTTCTTTCTCCCTCATTAACTTTGCATCACCTGCAAACATTGACATGTATGAGCTTGCTCAAGCTGGTAGGTCATCTTTATTAATTAGAAAGAGCAACGGTCTTAAGAAGTAAAATAGGAACTGCCTCATAAGGGCTAATAGGCTTTTTGCAATTACAGTGGGCCTTGTGCTCTTAATTACTTGGGTGAGATCAGCTCCTAGAGCTCTTTTCTTACAACTTTTGTATCTGATGTATTTATATTTACAGACTTAAGTACTGTATTGTCATACTTTTGAAGTATGACAGTAACTTTCGACACCCGTAGTTAGTGCTCTTTACTTGCTTGCCACTGCATAAGTGTGTTTTGTTTATTCCCTTAGTATCTTATACATAGTAATCTCCATTTTGTCCTTGTAGTGATTATTTTAATACATTAGGAAAATGGGCATCATTCTTAATGAACTGCAGTGTTGAAACTAAGGCTGCGGACATCGTCAATAGATTCACAGGATAATGTGGTTATCATCATTTGAATACTTAAACAATTGCTGTTTAGGTTTTACATGTATGATGCAAATGTGGATATGCAAATCAAGAAAAACAATGAAACATTTGTGGATAAAACAGTACACGCCAGCAAAGTTGAGCACCTGGCGTTGACAAGTGACAGACACTGCTTGCAGGGCTCCTCCACCCAGTGAATCGATAAATATTCAATTATTTTTGCATTTATCTTACATTTTGCATACAAATTAATAATTCTATAAGGAAAAATTATTTATTGGGATTTTTTTTTGCACATAGGCAGGTATAACAATTTCTCCATCACTGGGTATGTCCTGGTATATTTATGCTGTAAGCTCAAACTGCAAATTCAAAGTCAATTTCATCAATTTTTTTTTTTATTTATATTTTATCCCGTGTCTTGTCGTTAAATGGATTTTTCCCATTAAGGTCAACCTGAAAATTTTCCCATGCCACTACATACCAATTAGTGGTGTGTTGTAAACGTCAGGAAGAGTAATATATTCACAGATCCTGTGGGCCACTATGTGGGGCTTGCATTGAAGCTGAATATAACATGTAATGGACTAAACATTTTCTGAAGCTTTGTTTTTTCAGAGTTGTATTAAATTTAACAAAATTGTAATTATTCTTATGCAAATAAATCTTATTAATGTCTGTTTTATAGGCAGTTGAGGGTACGTACATTGACAAGAAGTGCCCCTTCACTGGCAATGTGTCGATTCGTGGTCGCATCTTGACTGGAGTGGTTCAAAAGATGAAGATGCAGCGCACCATAACAATCCGAAGGGATTACCTTCATTATGTGAAGAAGTATAATAGGTGAGTGTTTTGTACGGTGGACACTAATTTAATAATGGGATAGCATTGTTGGGTGCTGCATGAGGACATGGTAGGAAAGGTCAGATGGTTTATACTGTTTCAAGTTTTATCCTGGTAGTAAATCTCATACAACAGTTTGTGTGATAAATAATCCAGGAAGAAAAATGATCCTCACAGATCCAGTGAGCCCTGTGTTAGGTACTCACTTTGAAGCTGAGGATTACATGTGTATTTTGATTCATTTTTGTTTGTAGTGTTGAAGTTGCTAGTTGTTATACTTCAGTTTTTTTCCTCTGCTTCTTAATATCTTCCCCCCCTCCCACCTCTTTCCAGCCCTGGTTCTTAATCTTCACCCCGGAAGCACCTCAAGGTAACCTCCCTTTCCAGCCTGTTGCCATTGTGAGGGGGGCTTGGTGGGCAGCTGTTTGAGTGTGATGCTCTTAAAGGACAGCTTGTCCTCTTGTTCTTTTGAAACCTTGTGCTCCTGCTGCTGTCTTAACTCTTCACAAAAGCTGGTCGCTTTTTCCTCTTCATCATGGTTTCAATTTTCCTCCTTACCTCTTCTTTCCGATTGTTCCCTTCCTACCAACTTTTTGCCATTCTTGAATATTCTTTCCAATATCTTCTGTTTTGATGTGAGGTGTTTGGGGAGGTGCACACTCGCCCATAGACCTGTGGTACCTGACATTGTCGATGTGTTAATTAGGTGTTAATTAATAAAGTATATGGCAGGATAGTGCTGGGAAGAATACATTAAATAAGCAATTTGATGTGATACGGAGTGTTAGTTGTGGTGGTAAGCATGCATGACGAGGCAAGTGAGAGGGGTGTATATATGGTATTTATATTCTGTACTTTAAGTCTGAAACCCTTTGTCTTGAAAATTTAATTTATCTGGTAATATTTCATTTTACAGGTTTGAAAAGAGGCATAGGAATATGTCGGTTCATCTTTCTCCATGCTTCAGGTACGTGGAAGTTTTATATGCAACTTTACATCAATAAACAGTAATCACATTTGTCATGACATTCATGAACAAAATATTTACACTTCTAAAACATGGAAATGTAGATCTCACTTAAAGTTAACCTGATTTTGTTGTAGGTTTTAACAAACTTTTTTAATTTTATTCTCTAATATTTAGAAAATAGGATGTCACACGTTACGCCTTTTGCAAAGGCATATTGATTTTGAGTATTTATATCTTGTCAGTTACCACTTAACAAAATCAAATGAGTTGATATTGTAAACACTTGGCAGGGGTTAGGAGTCATTACTTTAAGCAAACTTAAAGCACTGTTTCTAAAGTAAATACATCAATGTAATTAACAGGAAGCAAGCCTGTGCATTAGCAGACCAAAAGCTGGAAATGCCGGGTTTAGGAAGTAGTTACATACTGCATCCATAGTGTCCAGACCTTGTAGGACAGTGTTGTGTAGAATTTAGATTTGAAAATATAGTATATTTTAATGTGTTTAATAATACTGATTGTACAGAGACTGTCTGTCATGGAGAATTAGCTATGCATTTATAGATCTGTGATTAACAAAATACTTGGTTATGTTTTAATTGTAATGTTCTAACTTTTGTTTTCAGGGATGTAAAGCCTGGAGATATTGTGACTGTTGGAGAATGCCGACCTCTGTCAAAGACTGTTCGTTTCAATGTCCTGAAAGTCAGTAAGGCCCCTGGCACAAAAAAACAGTTCCAGAAGTTCTAAATAAATATCAAAATAAGACTATAATATTTGACTTAACCCTTTGGTGTGTGGGACTTTATTTGAATTGTCTTGAATGGTGGATCTGTAATCTTCTACTGATGCTAATGTACCTTACCTTGCGATGATTTCGGGGTTTATCCTCCCCGCGGCCCGGTCCTCGACCAGGAATGCAAGATGATTAGAGCTATTATCTTTGTTAGTTTCTCACTTTTCACTTTTATAAAATAAGGAGGCATCAGCTTGGAAAGGAACTACATTGAAGGTTATAGATATAATGGAAATTTATATTTATAAATTATTTATTATAGGTAAATAAGCTCCACACAGCAGTACACCTTCGCTTCACGAGACAGGTGTAGAGTATGGAGCCTTTTTCATATATCCTGTGCTTTACTTCAGTCTGCCTTATCCCACTTGCATCTCTTAAATATCCTATTTTCAGGATGGTGGAAAACTATGCTTTCTGACAATTACAACAGTTGTCAATACTTTCTGAATCGGATTCTTTCCAAGTACAGTATTGTAAGAGAGCTTGAACGTTCTCCTAACCAATCACCGGCAACTCGTGGTGCAATTTGGCCATATTTTTTCATCATATCCTGGTGTATGCCGAGCCTACAAATGTGAAGGAAAACTTGAATGATCAAGCCATAAATCTCTTGAACTATTGACAAACAGGGTTTGAACCTGCAATTTTGTTTATCTTTTCTTCCCACTTTCTCAATCCCCCGTTATGGTACATTTGTACCATAGTAAGCATTAGTAACAAGGTGTTTTGTTACTAACGCTTTAACAAATCTCAAGTGTCCTATTTGTCTTATTACGAACATTCATGCATTGATCGTTTGATTTTAAATTCTTATTAATCATAACGCCCAGATCCCTTTCACAATCTCCACACCATCTAGCTCGTATCTTGCAACTATCATTATTACCTAGCCTCAAAACTTTACATTTATCAGCATTAAACTCCATCTGCCAATCTTTTGACCATTTCAAAACCCTATTTAGATCGACTTGAAGTAATAGTGAATCTTCTTCCATGTTCATTTCCCTACCGAAATTACTGACCTTGTATCTTGAAGTTCCAGCTCTGGAATTCTTCCCTATGAATTGTATAGATTCCTGTTACTATTTTGTATGAAGTGATCGCCTCACCTTTTTTTTTCCTATCTTCTAGTTTTGGCATCTTTAATGCCTATATATAACCTCTCCTCGTAGTTCTAGGAGCCATTTAGTAGCATATTTTTGCACCTTTAACAGTTTGTTGATGTGTTTAAGATATGGGCACCATACAACTGCTGCATATTCCAGCTTTGGTCTAACAAAAAGTCGTGAATAATTTCTTTAATATTTCGCCATCCATGTATTGAAAAGCAATTCTGAAGTTAGAAAGTATAACATATGCTCTTTGTGGTTCTCAGGTGATAGTTTTCTATCTAGCACCATCCTTAGATCTCTTTATCTGAATTCTTTAAATATTTCTCACAATTTATAGGTTGTGTGGGATTTGTATTCTCTTATTCCACATTCCATAACATAGCATTTATCCACATTAAATTCCATTTGCCAAGTGGTGCTCCAGACAGTTATTTTGTCCAGGTGTATAAGGGTATACAATCATCTAAGTTTCTTGTCTTCCCTATTATTTTAGCATCTTCAGCAAACATGTTCATATAATTCTGTATTCCTTCTGGTAGATCGCATTTCAACCCGTCCTTGACTCTAGAAGTCCATTACATCCAGCGGTCGACCCCACAGACGCATTCATAAATTTTTACATGCTGCTCATTCAAAACGGAAATGTTCTCAAATATAAATTAATATTATATTACATTGGCATATTGTGCATATATAGGCATAGGTTAGGTGTTTAGGTTCTGTTGGCGATTATTTGCATTTGTAGTGCGTGGGTGAAGCATTTACAGCGTTGTGCTACATAGCCTTCCCGGTTTGGTGCCTTCTATTGATAATTACTTACTTACAGCGTTGTGATTCGAAAAACATGTAGTTCGTTCAAAAAACAACGTTCCAGATGTCTCTCCAGTCCTTCAACTCCGTGGTACTCTTGTGGCGGACCCAGTGACGGTCGCGACCGAACTGGGTTCCCACTTCGATTGTTAGCTCCGGGTTCTCATCTTCCTCAATCCTTCCTTCCATGGTAAGCCCGTTCTTAAATCTCATCTCTCAGATTTCCACACTCGTCTCTGACTTTTCTATAACGATCCCTTCACTCTCTGAACTTCAGTCTGCTCTTGCCCTCTGCGGTTTTACGGCAGCGGGCTCAGATGACATTATGATATGTTTCACCATCTCCCTCCATGCGTATCTCAGTTTTTACTGACTGTAAGACCGGGTCTGGGAGTCGTCGTCAGTTCCTGAGGACAGACTCGATGTCGTTATACTCCCTATTCGAAAACCGGAGTCTCGGGACATCCCCTAAGGACTTCCGCCATATTGCCCTCACGAGTTATGTCTGCAAAATCTTTGAACGTATGACCAATGTTCGTCTGATGTGGTTCTTGGAATACTATTACCACCTCTCTCCTTATCAATTTGGTTTTCGCAAGTGCCGCAGCACGATTGATGTCATTTGGAGGTCTATATTCGTACTGCTTTTGCTGCAAAGACCTCCGTTGTTGCTGTCCTTTTTGACCTGGAAAAAGAGTTACAACACCTGGAGATACCATATTCTATCCCAACTTCGTTCTTTTGGCCTTCGTTGTAATCTCCCTCTCTTCCTCCAAAGGTTCCTCTCTCGTCGTTCCTTTAGAGTGAGGCTTGGTGCCACTCTCCCTGCCTCTGTTCGGCATTACGAAGGTGTATCCCAAGGTAGTGTTCTGAGCACTACTATTTTTTCTGGTTGCTCTCAATGGTCTTCTTTCCTCCCGTCCTTCTGGCATCTTCTCCCCGCTCTATGTTGACGATCCTTACCTTTGCGGTCAGGGTGATGATTCGCTTCTCCTTCAACGGCAGCATCAACTTGCGATTGATGCCGTGTCGTATCGTCTTGGACTATCAATCATGGCTTCAAGTTCTCTGCGACTAATACTTGTGCTATGACTTTTCTCGGAAGCAAGTCGTTCTTCGTCCCTCTGTCGTTTTATGGTCATGTCCTTGTGTATAAGGATTCCGCTAAGCTTTGGGGGTTAATCTTTGACACTCGTTTGTCTTGGTCACCCCATATCTCTTGCCTCCGAGTTTAATGCTTAAGGCCCTTAACCACCTCAAGGTTTTATCCCTTACTTCGTAGGAAGCGGATAAGCGCATGCTCCTTTCTTTACTTTCCTCTCGTACTGTCTAAACTCGATTATGGTTGCCCTGCTTACTCGTCTCCTACTCTTCGCCGTCTTGATGCTTTGCACCATACTGGGTTGAGCCTTAGCTCTGGTGCCTTTCGTTCGACTCCCTCCCTCAGCTTGTATGCTGACACTGGCTTCCTGTCTCTCCAGGACGGCCGTGATCGCTACTGTTACAACCTTACAACACACTTACTCTCGCTTATGTCGTGCTTTGACTTTTCCCCCCTCCTATAGTTCCTGTTGTCCTTCACCACCTCCATATTTCTGTCCGGTTGTCTCGCCTGAAAAAATCTCTTGCGGTTAGTATTACCAATATTTCTCCTCGTGTTGTTCCGTCCTTGCCCCCCGTGGAGGGTCCCCGTTCCTAAATTTTGTATGTCCCTGACCCGCATCACTAAACCTTTTACCCTCCTACAGTTCTGAAACGCCTTTTCCTTTTACATTTTTTCACACTTTTCTTCACATTCCCACTCCATTTTCATCTTCACCGATGTGTTAAGCCTGCAGACAGTCTAGGCCACTCTGTTGTTTTTCCTGACCACACCTATATGTGTCGCCTTCTTCCAGAGACTAGCATCTTCACGGCAGAACTTCATGCTATTCTCTATGCTCTTCGTCTCCTGCTTTCTCGTTGTCAATCCTCCTTTGTTGTTGTAGTCGACTCTCGAAGTGCCCTCTTGGCTCTGGAGTCCTTTAATCCAGTTCATCCGGTCGTAGTCGAGATTTAACATTGGCTGTTTCTTCTCGAGTAGATTTAAGATGGTAGAGTTTTGCTGGGTTCCCAGCTGTTTATGACATTTGTCCAGTCCGATACATTGTCTCTGATTACTGCCCTCATTTTTCTGTCAGAAAATGTTTCATCCATGTTAGAAACCTACCTGTCACTCCTCCAATATGTTAGTTTCCAGAACAACCTCTTATGTGGAACGCTGTCGAAAGCCTTTTTTAGGTCCAGATAGATGCAGCATGTATGCAGGTGTGTAAGTATGTAATGTAGGTTTGGAGAAATCCTTTTCCAATTAAATCAAGATGCAAGAGAACGAGTCCGAGGGATAGAAGCCATAAATAAGAAAATAATCAACACGGAATATGCAGTCATTAGGAGGAACTAGACTCGTCAACTGTGGTTGCTGGTAAAGGTCAGTGGGCGTTGATTTCAAGTGTCTGGAGACATGCTGAGAGAGCTGAAGAGGGTCCCGGGTTGGGATTGAAATGTACATTTACATTTCCTTTTTTCAAAATGTGGGTTAACATTTGTATTGACAAGTACGCCATTGCATTTCATTCTCATTATACATACGTACGTACGAATGTTACGTATGCTTGTATGTACGTAGGTAGGTAGTACCTAACAGCCAGATTTGCCTAACAAGCCAAATTTCGAAAAAAATCTAATGAAATGAGTTTTCATTGCATTATATATGATTGCAATTTTGTTATTTGGGTCAAAACTAACAGACTTGATCTAACCTAACTAATCCTAACCAAACATAATTAAGCCAGATATTCATGTTCCTAATATAATAAATTATTATTATTAGAAAAGAACCGCAATCTGGAAAGAAATATTTGAAAATAAAGAAAATTATTCTGCTTGTTAGGCACATTGGACCTTGCATAGTATGCCATGAAGTGCGGTTCTTACTATTAGACACGACATATATATTATAATGGCATAACTAATAGACAGAACGCACTATGACTAGTAGGCAAGGCCTAATTTGCCTAACAGGCAGAGGGATTTTCTTTGTTTTCAAATATTTTTCATATTTTTTTGTTTCCTAATAATAATTAAGAACTATTAAAATAATAATTAAGAATTATTATATTGGGAACATGAATTACTGACTTCGTTATGTTAGGTTAGGTTAGGTTTGATCAAATTTGTTAGTTTCGATTCAAAGTAATAAAAAAAATCATATGTAGTGTAATGGAAAGTGGTATCATTCCATAAGAATTTTTTTTTTCGAAAAATCCAATATTTCAGGAAAATTCAGCTTGTTAGGCAACTTGAACAACACATTAATCGGTACAATATTCATAGGCTACATGAAATAGATATACAACATAAGTATTCTTGCAAATAATACTGAACTTGTTAAAATAAGATACACGATAAGAGTATATAAGAAGTGGGTACGTAGCCAGGCTCAGGAAGCGGACATTAGAAGGTTATTAAGAGGGTCGAGGTGACCTTATACATTATTGTGTAGTGTTCCGGGGGCTGTGAGGAGGAAGTATACCCGCCGCTCAGTCTACCGTGGTATACGTTACTCTACAGTGTGGATATTTGGCTCCTCGTAACCACTGAGCAGTGAAGTGTCTTCCCAGAAGTGTGTTAGTCATCTAGGATCTTAGGTAATACTTACGAATAATTTTACTGATTCACTTTTATTCACCTATTCACTTATTTTTACTAAACACTTATTTTAATTTATAATTCATACACACATACAGAGCGTACACATGACGTTTAGATTATAATAATGCATACTATCTTACAAATAATTGATAATACTGATAACGATGTAAATTAGGAATCAAACTAGTGTTAAAATAACTATCTCTTCTCCCTCGTATAACGACTTTAAAGCATCAGGAAAGGCATTAGATGGACTCTTATGACGAGTTAGTAAGGTTTTTACAAGGAAGATAAGACAAAGTGCGTCATAAGATGGTGTCTATAGAGTGTAGAGGAGAAAAACTAACAACGTACACAACACCATTTATATTAAAACGAATGTTAATATCTACCAAACCTGACCTAGCTCAATCCAACTTAACCTAACCCAATACAGCATAACGTATGATAATACACCCTAGAATAACAATATATATATACGGTTTTTAGCGAAGAGTAAAGGAGGGTTGGTGGTGTGGGAGAGGACCATACCCCGGTGAGGGTAACTGCCACCACAACACTGCTCCACACCTGCTACACCTCACCCACCACCAGGTATGGTGCTCTCTCTCTCCCTCCCTCTATCTCTCACTTCTCCTACTGCTTTATCTTGCTGCTATCTTACTGTACGCCAGCTATACCACCTCTGTCAAGGTATTACCTCCCTCCTTCCTGCCTTGTTCCCTGGTGTGGGGTCTCCAGTGCCTGGTGTGGGGTCTCCAGTGCCTGGTGTGCCCAGTGTCTGGTGTGGGGTCTCCAGTGCCTGGTGTGGGGTCTCCAGTGCCTGGTGTGGGGTCTCCAGTGCCTGGTGTGGGGTCTCCAGTGCCTGGTGTGGGGTCTCCAGTGCTTGGTGTGGGGTCTTCAGTGCCTAGTGTGCCCAATGCCTGGTGTGGGGTCTTCAGTGCCTGATATGCCCAGTGTCTGGTGTGGGGTCTCCAGTGCCTGATGTGGCATCTCCAGTGCCTGGTGTGGCATCTCCAGTGCCTGGTGTGGCATCTCCAGTGCCTGGTGTGGCATCTCCAGTGCCTGGTGTGGCATCTCCAGTGCCTGGTGTGGCATCTCCAGTGCCTGGTGTGGCATCTCCAGTGCCTGGTGTGGCATCTCCAGTGCCTGGTGTGACTCCTCCAGTGTCTGGTGTGCCCAGTACCTGGTGTGGCCAGTCTGCCTAATTACCTAAGCTACTGAAAGCCACGCAAACCCACCCAACGCTATGAATAAATATGATATATTTACTCATTATAATGTTGGTGCTGAATGTAGAACATGGAAAAACATTTTTACTCTGAAAAAGTATCATTTTATAACGAATTAGACAAAAATAAGCTGCTGGTGATACCAAAGCAATTCAACGGTCCAAGCGACTTATCCAAGATATAGTGTTGCATACAGGTTATATTAACCTAGGTTTGGATAGGTTAGGTTTAGTTAGGTAAGGTTAGGTTTTGTTAGGTTATGTATTGGTAGGTTGGTTAGGTTAGGTAGGTACAGGAGGCTGATATGCCAGCAAAAACTCCTTAGGCAACAATTTGTCTTGGATAAGTCGCTCTACGACATTGTGGCTTGGACCGTCGACCTGCTTTGACGTCGCCAGCAGCTAATTTTTGTCTTTTGGAAGTTTTGGAATTAATTTTGTTACCTGGTGTTGAACTTTCTCCAAAGCAGCTGTGTCTATCTGAAGATGAAGTCTTCATGCTTGGATACAATAATCCAGGTGTAGATGAACCAAACACGAAACCATTGTTTCGTGTCTGTTACAGGTGACCTCTTAAAGAAATCCATGATACTTCTCTGAATTATTTAGGTTCAGACTTTTGGCCTTGGACTAGAAATTTTATAATAATTACCTACTTATTTAATTTTATTTGCACCAGAGATTTATACACCAGTAGAACAGTTGGGTTCATTCTCGACTCACAATCGGAAATTCCAAGTTTGAATCTCGGGCGGGACAGAAATGGTTGGATGTTTTTCTTAACACCCAATGCCTCTGTTCACCTAGCAGTAAATAGGTAACCAGGAGTTAGTCAGCTTATTGTGAGGATGATCCTGGTGGGGGTGGGGGGGTTCAGTACAGTAGTTCGACCTTTGAGGGGGATCTTGATATAAGCCAACATGTATATATACACTGGCTTCCTGTCTCCCTAACACAGTGAATTGTTATTATTAATCTGTCTTATGTATAAAGTAACTTTCATCCATTTTACTGGATGCAAGTTCTACAAAAGGAAGGACTGTCTGTGTTAAAAGAATTTAATAAAAGGTGGAGAAATTGTTTTACGAGATTCCAGTTATCACTATCAATGCTGTGTACAAATTCCATTTGACTGAAGGCACACAAGGAATGGCTGGAAAAGTGGGTGAAAGACATTTGGAACAGTGTTACAGCTTTCATACTGTCCTTTTTGCTTTATAATAACAATAATTTGTGTTGGGGGACAAGAAGTTAGTGTGTGTATTCATACACGTTAGGCTTATACCGAGGCCCCCCCCTCCCTCCCATTCCTAATGCTATATTACTGACCCCTGCCCAGGATACAACCCCACAAAAAGCTGACTAACTCCAAAGGCATTAGGTGAAAGAAAATGTGCCCAACCATTTCAGGTTCAGAGATTCGAACCTGGAATTCTTGATCGTGCGTCGAGAACGAACCCAATTGTACTACTGGGATTCTTGTGCTTTGTAGCACATCTTAGGAAAGCCAATAGCTTACACTGTTCAGCACATAGATAGAAAGCAGTGGATCATATTCAAGTGTGCAGTGCTTTTACAGGAGTAATGGAATAATCATCTTAATAATGTTTTATCTTATCTAAGGGTTGTAGATATCAATCTGTACATTTGACCTAAATTTACCTGAGGACATTAGCACTTTAGTGGAATAAAGGAGAACAGGAAGCGGGCACCTTATCAAAGGTCCCCCCCTCCCCCAAACCCTACACACACATTTGTCTTGATTTAGTTAAGCTGGATTTTGAAATTCAGCAGTGTTTTAGCAGGTAGGCTGTTCCATGGGTTTATAACCTAAGGGTGAAGAAGCACTTCTTGTTTTCTGTCTTACACTGTCTTGCTGAGCTTGAAACCATTGTTTCGTGTCTGTTACATCTGACCTTTTAAAGAAATCCATTAAAGAAATCAAAGAAATCCACTTTGAATTATTTAGGTTCAGGCTTTTGGCCATGGGCTAGAAATCTTATAATAATTAATTACTTATTTCATTACCTTGATGTATTGTCTTATTTGGAGAGAGGCCTAAGGGCTGCTAATCTATTTGGATACAGTATAACATAACCAGAATTTTACCAGCAATGCTGTGGTATTTTATCTTGTATGCAAATGGTATAGTGCCTGTAGATGGCATAGTACCTCATTAGCCTGTATTTAATGTATTCACACATCTTATATTAGGTAACAGTTATTTTTTTATATAATTCATTAGTTCTGAAGGAACACTTTTTTGTGATGTCAGCTCTCTGGGATGTAGAGAAAGTAATTATACATAAAACAATCAAAAGTCCTGCATCCTGTTTAAGCTTGCATAACATTATTACCACCTGGAGGGGGTTTTGGGAGTCCTACCCCCCCGAGCCCGGCCAGAGGCCAGGCTCGACTTGTGATACTGTAACTTGATTTCTTTGATCAACAATTGATCAACATGTATTGATTTCTTTAACATTAAATAAAACTGGAAACATTAAGATGATTATTGTTTCAGCAATGGAGCACGAGGTCCTCATTCAAGTTAGCCCCAAACACACATACAAGCCTTCATCTTTCAGATGTTCCTTTATGACCAAGTGGCGGAGAAGACCAACAGATGAGTGTAAGTCAAAGATTGCCTTGTTGATTTAGATCTTTTATTCAATGAGTTTAGTCATAATGCACCCCATATCCATCCTGTGGGCAGTGGTGGAAAGGATTACAGAGGCACATAATGGGTTCAGAAACTGAATTTCATAGTTCATTTAGCTAAGCAAGTAACAGTCTTGTGAAGCTAGTTACAGTTTTTAATACACAAGTACAACTTCGATTCAACAAACTATATGGGCCCAACCCTAATTTGTTGCAGCGAGGAATTCGTTGCAATTGGAGATGCCTCCAGGATGCATTTCCCATGCAATATGGGCTAATTTCACTTGGCAAAATTTTAATTTCATCCTATAATATAATAGACAACTACCAAATGAACATATTTGCAAAAAATGTAATCACATCTAGCTTATTTCTCATATCCCCCAGTCTCTAAACTCATTTTCAAAAGGTAGCAGGGCCATTCCTGATAAAACAAAACCTTGCCAATTTAAAATGAAAACACAGAATTTGGTTTTAAAAAACCTCAATAGCTTTCCCAAAGGCTCCAGGTATTTCTTGTAATGTTAAGTCAATAACATGATTAGAGCCATATTAAGTATGTTACCGTTCATACCCAGCACGTATTTTCCATGCTCTATGGGTTGATTTCATTGAATGAAATTTTAATTTCAATCTGTCATGTGAAGGACAATATCAAGAGAGACTGTCAGGAGATTTAACTACATAATTCATAATAATAATTTTAGCATATTTCCCATGCCAAAGACTTGAAATCTCATTTTCAAAGGAAAAAGGACACACATTAATGGACAAAAACCAGGGAATCTCAAGATTAGAAAGAACCGTGTAATTTTGTTTTAAATATGTTCAATGGCTTTTCCAAGGCCCCTTAGTACCTGTATATCTTGTAATATTGTGCCCATCTACAAAAATTATTAAAAATGTCATTGGAGCCATATTAAGAGAACATTTGCCTCCCCCAGCTCCCAAAAAATCCAAAATGCCCGGTAAAAAAATACCCAACAAAAAATTCATTCCAAAATACAGAATAAAAAGTCAAAATGACCACTCCCCCCCAAAAAAAAATACCAAAACAGTAAAAAAAAAAAATCCAAAACACCTATTAAAAATGGCAAACAAAAATAATTAAAAATGTGATTGAAGCCATATTAAGACACTGTTTGTACTTAATATTTCCTATGCTTTATGGGGTGATTTCACTGAGCAACATTATAATTATAACGTGTCATATGAAGGGCAACAATCAAGAGAACCTGTCCGTAAAGAGATTTAACCACATCTAGCACACTTCCCATGCCCAAACCTTGAAATCGCATTACAAAAGAAAAAGGGCTGCAACATCCAGCTTTGCTATAAGTACTACAATTTTAGGAGAATGGGCTACTTTATTTGGATAGATTATCTTGGTATTTTTCATCTGATTTTAGCCTGCCTTCAGACACCGTCTGGATACAAGAATCCACTTATTACATATCTTGTTTATCTGGATATAATTTGAATGCATGGTTATCTTGAGATGATGTTATCTTGAGATGATTTTGGGGCTTTTTAGTGTCCCCGCAGCCCGGTCCTCAACCAGGCCTCCACCCCCAGGAAGCAGCCCGTGACAGCTGACTAACACCCAGGTACCTATTTTACTGCTAGGTAACAGGGGCATAGGGTGAAAGAAACTCTGCCCATTGTTTCTCGCCGGCGCCTGGGATCGAACCCAGGACCACAGGATCACAAGTCCAGCGTGCTGTCCGCTCGGACGACCGGCTCCCCCGAGCGGGTAAACACATTCGGATTATACTTTTTTTTTTGATAAAGTGGGATTCGCAAGTGTGCAACTTGGGTAAATGAATTTGTACTATAATATTTCTTTTGAGGTACTGTTTTGTCATTACAGTATTTTGTATCCCTCGAGAGAAAGGAGGTAGCATTTGGAGTTGGGAGGAGCATGTTTAACCAGTCCACAATGGGCCAAGAATGTTTTCACCCTAGCCTTGTGGGCAATTGTATAATAATGGTTATAATTGCCATAATATCCTTTGACATGCATTGGGGGAGCATTGGTTATACAGTATTCATGTTTGTTTTTGCAACCATAACAAATTTTTTTAAATATAGTACTGCACTATACTTAAAAGCCATTTTTATTTTCTTTCAGTATCCAGTCTTCCTCTTCACACACTGGAACAGTTGAAAAAGGAATTACAAACTATAGTGCAGGGTATGTCATGTTTTGTTTCTTCAGTAAGCCTCATGATGAACTTGTTCCTCATAATCTGTCATACTCATTATTTTAATTTTTCATTACTGTACAATATTAGCTTTGATGAGGATTTGTATGTGTGCGGTTTACCTTATGAATAATCGGCTCTACTGCAAATGAGTATTATGTTTTCACTTGGCTTTTGTTTACACAAACTCAATCAAATTACAATTCGTGGTGGCTGAATTGAAGGCGTCTTTAAAAATCATAGGATTGACTAAAATTTCTTATGTATTCATTGATGCCAGGAGATAATCACAGTGTTGACTGCAAGTGATACCCTAGAAGATTTGCAATGATTTATTTCTTTTGCAATAACAATTAGATATATATACCGTATTTTAAATATTGTTTTAGAATCATACCATATATAGTAGGCGGTGACTTTTCATCAGTATAAACCTAAATTGTTATATAATTGTAGATACCTGTACATTGATTTCAGAGGCTTCAGGAGAACTGGTTGGTCTTCTTCAGGAACGTCAAGGGCTGCAGGAAGAGGTCGACATTCGTTCCATTACTATAGAACAGTTACTCAAGTTTGCAGAGAAACGACAACTCCAGCTGGGTGAACCTCTGGCAGTACAGATGAGTGTTGTCAGAAACCATTGTCAACAAACTAGTCCTGAAAGTGGGCTTGGCTAGATTTGTGTGTTGTAGCTAAATCTTGAACCTGTAGGCCAGTATAAGACAATTGTGTTCAGTTGACATTTCTTTTAACTAGACAGATTTGCTTCTTGTTTTTTTTCTGGTGTTTAGGATATTTAAGTTTCAATTTGAAATTTTGAACTAAACAAATGCATATCATGAACTATATTAAGGGGCATATTAAAGTTTGGTTACACTGTACGGGGTGTACTGTATTTAGAATTGGAAAAATTCTAAACTATTACCCTCTAATTATTTCAGTATTATAAAATTTAAAAAGGAAATATTGTAGAATACAGTACCTGGTTTAGTTGTATTTTGGGTTGTGATCAATTTTTAAAATTGTTTTCAAGTCACAGTTTCCAGTATTATTATACAGCATTGGATGCCATATAGAATTATGGAAAAATGACTTTAAACTGACAGTTAAATTTCTTTATTGTAGTACAATGCCAGCATGTCTGAGTATTTCTACCATGCCAGTTCTGGGATGGGTGACGGGTACAAATCATAGTACATAATGTGTGCCCTCCATTATAAGACATTTTAGAGTCCAAAGATAAACAATGAAATTCTTACATAATTCTGATTTTTTTTCTTCTAATTTTCACACTGATAGCTGCTTTGTGTGGATGGTGTAAATATTTCAATTACTTCATCAAAATTGTTAATTAGTGAGTTTAATAAGTTGTGATTTTTTGTTAATATTGCTCTCATATCTACCTCTTGAATGCATTGAGTTAAACTTGACTGCTAGTTTGGTAATATGTATTATAATATACAACATAAAGGCAGTTATTACATTATATTTTTGGTTATGACTTAAAATGGTTTTGCTTCCGTATATGATCACTCCTCCTGGGTGTATTATGTCCCTTACATAATATTACAAACCGTGCAGGAAAATTATAATACACTTATGATACAGTACTTGCATTGAAATTGTGTATCTCCCACTGTGATTGTGTGCAAGGTGACGCTTGATATCTACCTGCTGTGAATGTGGGGAAGGTGATGCTGGATATCTTCCATCCAGGAGGCCTGGTCGACGACCGGGCCGCGGGGACGCTAAGCCCCGGAAGCACCTCAAGGTAACCTCAAGGTAAGGTGACTTGATATCTAACTGCTGTGAATGTGGGGAAGGTGATGCTGGATATCTTCCCACTGTGAATGTGAGGGTGAAGATGCTGGAGCAGCTTTTGTTGTGAATGTGAGGACAGTGATGCTGGAGATAATGATCAAGTGTCATTAATATTCTGAACTTGAAACATTTCAATGACTCCATTGTAATAGTTCTCACTAAATTATTCTGATCTTATGGAATAATTTGTTTCTAGTGTCTTCATTGTGTCTTGACCTCTTAGCATAATTTCCTCGCTTTGTCTGAAACTCTAAAAAAATATGTGCAGCTCCTCTAAGGTGAATGCTCTCTGAATATATTGATATTTAAACATAATTTAAATTTTTCTAATTTACCTAACATTTTGTTTATATGCATTGATTAAATGTTTAGGTTATATGTTTAGGTTAAATAGCATAAAAATATAATGACGTCAGAAGTAGTGTAGGCTCTTATTTGAAATTCAGCCATGAATTTAAGCATACATATTAAGTGTATACATAATTATGGTTTGGATCTGGTGCAATATGATTGTGCTTTACAGTTATATATACAACAAAATTTACATACATTAGTGAATTGTGCTGCTTGCCCATCATAATGTGAATTCATGCAGTATATGGAATGAAGGAACTTTTGAAAATGAGCAAAAGCATAAACTAGTACTGTATTTACCATACTGTATTCAGGTTGATAAATACATTAAATATATTGTAGTTTTTGTGGGTTTAAATTCTGAATTATTTAAATGAATTGGTTAATTGATCAGCAGAAATTTTAAATTTTGTTTTATTTCAGATGGATGGGCAAATGTTTGATTAATTATAATTTATTTGTGCATGTAATTTTAGTTGATGGGCGTATCTTCATTTATAGAGCTCTTGTGCATGATGTCACCACCACCACCTGTTGTAATTAAGGATTGTGTAGGTAGAATAAATTAAGTCCCTCAATGCTAGTATAAAGTCATCAGTGTGGATGTTCATAATGAAATGTATTGGTGGTTGTATGAGAATGACAGCGTGTCATTACAGCAAAAACTGAACAGTATATATGATCTTGATTAGGCTGATGAACATTACATTCCAAATTTTTATTGTGGGTGTGGATGGAGTAGAGTGTATAGTTCAATATACTATGTATATCGAAGTGATCAATATACATAGTGGGGACATACTGTTCAATATTGTAAAGCTTGCTGTTGTCATATAGTAACAAATTGTTTTGGCTAGGTCTACTGCTATTCCTGATGTAAGTTAGTGACAATGAAAAGTGCAATATGTGCCGATGACAACACTAATGAGATGCAAACGGGGGAAGATTTTTACAAAGTGGGCAGGCAAATTTTTGTTCTAGTTCAACCCCCAACAAGTGTAAGGTAATGATGAGAGAGAAGAACTGTAGGAATATATACCATGCAGAGTAGGCCTCTACTACAGGTAGTACTGTATTGGAATGAGAGGAATTTGGGAATAGGTACCAACACAAAGTACATGTATACTTAATAACATCAGCAAACAAAAGAGCATTAAAAATCCCATATGAGAACTTAAGTTCCCCGTAGTTCTTGCAGTTCTTGTTAATTATTATACTATGGGTACTCATTACACCATTGTATCCTGAGATGCTGGCCCGGGATACTCTTGATAGGCTATAATCGAAACATCTCTAGTTTTTATACTTTATTGTTTATATGCACTGAACAGTGAGGCTGCATGACAAGTCTCTCTAAATCCACTATCCCAACTTACCAATAACACTTAACCTTAGCTGTAAATACCTTAACTTGTCGAGGATAGTGTGACTTGCTGGAAAAAGCTAATTGCTTGATTTCCAGCTTGTTTGGTTGACTTGTTGGCACTGGTATAACTAATTGTCTTTTTGAAATTTCTGTTTATGGAAATGGTGGTGTGTTTGAAAATTAATGTAACCAAATTAAATAACATGTTGATTTTGTAATGCTGTACCAATATTGAGAAAAAAGAAAGAAGAAATTGAGAAAAATTTGCTGTTATGTATAAAAGAATATCTAAAATGACTAATTCTCCATGCAAATATTTCTTAATATTGTACAGACATTATCTATTTTCATGTATAATATTGTGGTGAATATTAGTTATATTTTCACTGCTCACATGCTCAACCAAATGTGTAACAGCGAGTTTTATAATATAATATGCCAGTTGATAATAGGTCTTGCTGCTCTCTTTTGGTTCCTGATAATTTATTAGTGATAGTGAAGTTTTGAATATAGCATTCCTTTTCCAAATGGGTCATAATTACGCAAGTCGGTTGTCGTTCTCCATGCCAGAACCATGGTTACAGCTTGTTATTTATGCATGAAGCTGTTGACTGTGTATATAGACAGCACCAGCCGACCCCCACCTTTGCAATGTGTACATATTTTGTAAATATGTTGCAGAGTGAGGTTAGTCCAAGGGTGTCCATTGAAGTTGTCCTGGTTTGATTTGATCTGGAAACTGAAAATAGGTGCTCTTTTTGTTGTGATTATTTTCTGCAAAATGTAGAGGATAAGTACTTTTAAAAGGAAGGAAAGTAGTTTATTATAATGACAAAGCTGTGGCATTTTATGCAATTGTTATAGGAAATATTGCTGGATTAAGTATTGTTTGAAACTTTTGTCTTTAATTCTGACTTCTTACCTTTCCAAATGGTTGTGCGAGTCATATAGTGAATACTGTGTGTAATTCATGAGTTTTTAAGCTATATGCTGTTTGCATGAACAGAAGTACACCATAGATTATCATACAATAGTTATATATAATGGGTTGTTTGTCAACTAGCTGAAATGTAATGAATACAAATGGGGAACTATGTACATTTTTATCAATAATTATTTTTTTCTGAACTATAATTTAACATTGTAATTAGTAATGGGACAATACTAAATTTTTTAATGATTCTGATTCCACAAAAGTCGATTCCAATACAATTCTGGTTATTTGAAAAAATACAGATGTTACTTATTTTTTTTTAAATTGTTGTACCATATTTCAGTTTGGAAATTAACGATTTACCTTATGAGCTTGGGTCATCCAGCTTAATCAGAAGATTAATGAGGGCACCTGAAAAGTGAAAAAATTTCATTATACAAACGATGAGTCAAAATAACCTGGCTGAAGAAATGACGACCAAACCACAACTCAGAAGATGGAGAAGTGACAACGTTTTGGTCCGTCCTGGACCATTATCAACCTTATCAAGTTAATAATGGTCTAGGGCGGACCAAAACAACATTGCTTCTCCATCTTCCGAGTTGTGGTTTGGTCGTCTCATTCCACTATACATGCGGATATATGTATATATGCTTTAATTGTGTACTGTACAATAAAATAAGATTTGCCAACTTGTTTCAAATAAAATTAATATGGCAAAACTATCTCAATTAAAGCATAGGTAATATGTTTATTTGTTTTTAGTCACAAGGTAATCCTTAATGTACAAAACATCAGAAAATAAGAAACAGTGAAAACATTCCATTACCATCACAGGTGTATTTGTTACATAGAATTTACAATACAATAACGTTTTTAAATCTTTCAATATAAGTTCAATTATTAAAAAATGATAATTTTTGATTTGTACTGAAAAAGCAGTCTTTAACCTACATAATGCGAGTGTAAGTGAATAAGAAAATATTTTTCATACTGTATTTAAAACTTAGGACTCTTAAATTGTAATGTCAAATCATTAGCAGACTCTTTTCAGTCTCTTTCTTTACCCATTTATCTTGTCTTCAATTTGGCATTTTGTCTTCCCTTTGTTTATTTCTTTTTTCTTCTTTAACTCAGAAAAGCATCTTTCAAAACTGAAGTTCTAACCTTATTTTTAGTTATCATACTTTAAACAATTTTAATTATTACCTGAAATGAAAAATAGTGATACAGGTATTAACTTTTAAAGAATTGTTTTAAAAATTGGAAATCATGGTAAATTTGTCTATTATAATACTGATTCCAATTACTGAGAAATACTAGATTCTTACAATTTTAGATACTAGTTCCGATTGTCCCATCACTAAGTATAATTACATTTCTATAATGTTCATTGCTGATAAAAATGTGTATGGACTGCATTTAGTGTTTTTGTATGTTGCAGTTAGTGTGAACGAAGCAACTGTATTGTGAGTGTGTATAAGTGTGTATAATGTTAGCAACTACCCTTTCACTTTTTTTTTTGTCAATCATTATGATATTTGCCTTTACTCTCAGAGTTAAAGTATACCCCTTGATGGTACCTGTTATACCAGTAATTTCAGGTGTGAAGTCAATCGTACTCTTATCATATACCAATGCAAGACTGTGATTGTGGGCATTAATGATTTTTGTTACTTCAGAGTGAAGTGTAAGATATGTTTTATTTGAAGTTGTTATAACAGTGTGGCATATCAGCGTTCTTCAGGTTCACTTTGTTCTGAATGTCATGCTAATCTTGTAGCTTTTCCCTGTGTTGCTAGTTAGTAAGAGTTAAAATTGTGAACTTTTGAACAGTCAACTTTTAACTGTTAAAAAGAGTGCGTATATTGTACAGTATTTTATTCTTGTCATGATTTACAAAAGTAAGTTGAAAGTCTTGTGGATGACATAAATCGACCTGGTGCTAGACAGTGCAGCAAATGTTACCAATTACACGACGGTGAGAACTCTCCATATGATGCATGTTCTGATAATCTGCAATTATTTTATGATTTCACTAATTTATTTTGTCAGTGTGCATGCTTTCAAAAATTAAATAAAATTATGCTAAAATTCCAGTAGTACATTAGCTTGCATCATGCTTGTTTAGTTTAGTTTAGTTTTCAAAGTCAACAATGCAGTATACAGAAAATCTGGTTTTGTATCATTTAATTCTTTGTTACTAATTATTATGTATTTAAACTGTAATGCAGATTTGTTGTGTGAATGCATCTATACTACAGCAGCAGTGTACATTAAACACTTTACTAATGAGATTAATTTCTCATAAACCTTATTATTTTGTTACCTCATATAATATTACTTTGCTTTAATTAGACTACAACAATTGGAGAATATCAATATTCAACATTACACTTCTGTTTTAGTCCATCCTTTTGCTTATTTTTTGGTTACTATGTTTATTCTCTCCATGTTAAATTACTTATAAAAATAAATTACATCCTTCAATAAAAAAAATGAAAAAAGCTTACCTTGGCAAGTGGGACCTAGAGATATAATACCCACTGTGTACAGGTCTTGCTAATTACTCTTCAGTGGTAGAGTTCTTACATCTCAAAGGGCCCAGAGCTTTAGAAAGGGGTTTCGTTGTGGTCTAGTGGCTGACTTGTATTTCTAGCTTCCACTTGCGTTGTCATGTTCAATTTCTCGTGTAAAAAGTCTTACCCTGTCATCTTTTTCAATATTTCTCTATCTTGCATGTAGTGACATCTCTTGGTTGGTCTTCTGTCGAGTGTTTGCTGGTTCTTTTCATTTAGACATAAACTACGAAAACAGGCTAATATATATATATATATATTTTTTTTTTGCAGAAGTTAGAAAATTTCTTCTTTTCAAGTTTTTATTTTGTTGTCACCATAATTTTCCATGCTTGTTGAATCACAACGTACAGTACAGTACAGTACAGTATTATACTTTGTCTAATTTCCCACTGTTGGGAACAGGAAGTCTGTTCTTATCAAGGAGCCCCCATAAGCTATTTACTGACCTTTCCAAGGACACAACTTAAAACAGTTGTCCAATCCCCGAGTACCTAATTACTGCTAGGTGGAAAGAGGCATCAAGTGTAAGGAAACTTGTCCAATTCAGTGTTGTTAGGTACTGAACCTGGTGATCCTCAGTTGTGAGCCAGTGACAGATCACACAGTATCTGGGTTGCATTATCTTGAAGAGGTTGTAACCAAATGATCATAAAATATATTACAAAGTACTTTAGACTCAGTTTGATGCTGTTATTGTAATCTAACATGGGTTATCCCTCATCTTTAGCTGATATTGTATTAAACAAGTTAAACAGTCCAATTTTGCATTTTCAGACATTGATGTTACTTCAAATGATTTTTCAGGCGGAAATGTTCTATCTCGTAGAAACAAATTTCATAACTGGATTTGTACTGTCATTCAAAAAGTGATCTGCAGATGGTATGTTATTCTGAATTAACGAATTATGTACAACACTATTATATGTGACCTATTTCCGTAGGCTTCCTCCTGTCATTTAAACGGGAAATGGAAAACGTTTCTGGCCATGTGGCTGCGATACATACTGGCCAAATAAGATAACCTCATGAGCAGTTAATGGAATAGACTCCTGATTTTTAGGATGATAGAAAATATTGTTTTTTCATTCTTCCATGAGAGTCCATTGTCCCTCTATAATATTCTTGATGAATCTCTTTCCTTTGACATCACTCATCTTGTGTCATTGCTATTGCATTAGCATCCTAAATGATGTCAAGAACTCATGCCTATTCTATAACAGACTATGCTATACTTGTACTGGGTACACCCTTCCTGGCCAAGTACTTTCTTATAATAATTACTATACTGTACTGTACTTTCTGCTCGCATATAAGCAGCTGGAGTAATACATAAGTAATATACTTTACTTTTAATTGACCTAAAAGATGCTAAATAGCCAATGATTTAGCACTTTTAATTATTTTAGCACCTGCCTGAAATGAGTTGTGTTAGTGGCTTTGTAAGACTGTAAAAATACCAATCTTAGGTAATCTCACATACCCATTGTACATTGTTGTAAATATTATTGTTGTTATTATTATTATTATTTACTCTCACCCAAAGCATACAGAAATGTACTGTATACACAAAACTATGAATTATAACATACACAGTTGACTTAGGACAATGATGGTATTAGAAGTTGTGTAAGTTCTTGGTTGTTGCTAACCTGAGTGTTGTAGCTAAAGGGTGAGTTTGGGACATGATTACTCTGTGAACCTTTCACAGCATATTCCTGCATTTTTAACAAAGGTTGTTATGGATTACTTGGTATGTGTGATGTCTTTACACCTTCCTGGTGCATCCTTCTTCCTTCAGCACAGGCTGGTTCATTCTTGAATCACAATTGGGAATTCCAGGTTTGAGTCCTGGATTGGAAAGAAATGGTTGAATCCATTTCCTATCACCTAATTTCTCTGTTCACTTAGCACTAAATACGTACCCAGGAGTTAGTCAGCTGGTTGAGGGGTTTTATCCTTGGGAGAGTCAGTAATTCGACCTTGGGGTGGAAAACGCCAAGATCGGGGTTTCCCAGTTAGGTATAGAAAATCTATACCTAATATGTATATATACACTGGCTGCCTGTTCTCGGACACAATGAATTATAATACAATACTGTAATTTGTTGTTTCCAAGCAAGAGTATTCACAAATTTGATTTCAACAAGTTTATCTAAAGAGTAGAAAATTCAAATTTTGTACACACTTCAAAGACAATAAAAATAAATAACTTTATATATCACTGTGCTGATAATAATGTAAAGTATAGTGTATAATTGGCACATGTTGTGCATCCTATTATGGCACTTGTATTCTCATGTCCTCCTGAGGTATTGCTCTACATCTCTACAAAACATAAACATTTGATTGATTGTAACTGCCTTGTTGAAGAGCCTATACTATACATTCGTAACTACAAGTTGCTCTTTGCATCTTTGGCTCGTTTGAGGCTTGAATGATTGCTTTAATTTTTAAGGGAAGAAACACTGAAACCTTTTTTCTTGAGGGACAATACAGAGACTACAGTATAAATGGACAACTGTAATATATGTCAGTATTATTTTGTCTACTTAGTTTTATTTTTGGTGCATTCATGACAGATTTGTTTTATTGCATTATGTATTAACATTATTTTCATGACCCTATATATTGTACAGTATTTGCTTTTATGGCTATTACAATCTTACATAATATTTCAAAGGCAATGACATGCCATGTAATCATATAAGTGATTTTTGTCAGACTGAATTTCCTTAATACTGTACTGTTTGAAATGTTTTACTCATTCAAATGTTTATTTAGGTAAAATACATACATGCAAGGGGTGATACAAAAATTGATGAATATATAGTAATTTGATCGACGTCAATAATGTTTTATTGATGGTTAAAGTTTGGCATTGGTTTTCTTTACTGGTAGTTAATATTGCCCAGTCAGTAAGTTTTAGAAGAACTTAGAAGAACTTTTAGAAGAAAGTTTTAGAAGAACAATTGCTCATTTATTATCTAAATGTTGGTGTTTTGCACTTTTAGAAGCTCTCGAGACAGGATAGTAGTGTGGATGTCTGTCTTGTGATGTGTGGCATAGATTATTAGCTATTTTTATTAAACAATTATTGTAGTTTTAAAATTTTTGGTAAAAGACAGTTTGTTATATTAAATATAACAAATGGGAGTGAATATAGTGGAAGTGGAGCTGTTATTAGTATACATAAAGTCAATAGTTGCATTGAAGATTGAATATTAAGTACTGTATTAGATACAAACATTTCTTTACATTTTAATTAAGTGGAGACTACCTTATAACAAGGTTGAATTTTATCATGTTAATCCTGTTGTATGGAACGTGAGTACATACTGTAACCTTAAAGAAATGGAAGAATTACCTGGAAATCAGAAGTGAGGATTATTTCTATGGCTGATCCCTCTGATCTGAAAGTTTAATATAGGTGTCTATATATAGAAAGAAAGAAGAAAGTCTATATAATAGAAATATAATAGACTAAAGAGAGTCTAATATCATATGTTGCAGGTGGAGCCTGACAGCTGAGTGGACAACACTCAGGATTCGTAGTCCTGAAGTTCCGGGTTCGATCCCCGGTGGAGGTGGAAACAAATGGGCAGAGTTTCTTTCACCCTGATGCACCTGTTCACCTAGCAGTAAATAGGGACCTGGGAATTAGACAGCTATTACGGGCTGCTTCCTGGGGGTGTGTAACAAAAAGGAGACCTGGTCGAGGGCTGGGCCATGGGAATGCTAAACCCCGAAATCATCTCAAGATAGTTGTACAAATTAATAATGTAAGTTTTCATGATCCTGTTGTACCAAGTCAATTAAAATAAGAGGATAAAGTGCCAGTGTACATAGTATGCTGAACTAGAGTGAAACTGAATAGAAGTTGCCTTAAGTTATTGAACTGGTGGAACTGAATTGGTACACCCGTCATATAGGAAATCGAACAGATTTCTGGGTTAACCTCGATAGGAATCATGCAGACTGTTCCATTACCTGATGATGTGCAAGCAAGACTTAGAGTAAATGCTAATATAGAGTACTGTCTATTGAAAGTGTTCCATTGTTTGTCTATTCTATTTATTTCAGGATATCCTGAATAGAGAAGAACTGAAGGTATGAATAAGTTCTAACATACCTTGGAGTAATGCATAAAGATAGTTTTTATAGGTAATCTTGCAATTCAAGGACATGTAGCAAAGATTAATGCTATACCAAATATTTGGAGTATAGAGAACATAGATGAAAGCTAGAGATAGAGGAGTCAGAGGTCCATGAAAGAAGCAAATAGTAAAATATGTAAATAAATGAAATAGGTTGGAGAAATTATGCTGAAGGTGACTTGCTACACAATATTCAATGTAAATGTGTACGGAAGAAAAGTATAACATGTTAAAGAAGAGTACTGTAATTGTATTGAACTACAAAATGCTCCGAGGATGAGGATTGGGGAGCTGCTGCTTGACTCGGCAAGCACATCTAGAGTAATATACACAAAAAAGAATCACACCTCTCAAGTACATCAGTATCAAATGTTGCAGTGATACACATGTATAAATACAAATATAACTACATTTGCCTTTTATATTAATATTTTAGGCTTACTCAAGTGAGCAGTTTCTACTATTGTCTCATCCTAAATCTTGAATTAATAGTAAAGTTATGTCTTAACAGAATATAGCCCATGATAACCATGTCAGTTTCTTCAATATGCATTACCCATCTAGTAACTGTAAGCTTGGTGAATTGGTTTATTCAAGAATCCAGATGAATGTGGGACTACTGTATTCACCTTCAATTTGTCATGAAAGAATAAAAACC